CATCCTCAACTCAATGAGGAAAACCTTGCACTGTTCCCAAGATCCCAAAGTCGTTCCATTATTGGCCCTTTTCTATCCACCACCTCGTCTACAAGTTCACACATGAACTGTAATGGAGAGCCATGTCTTCCAGACTTGCTACTCCTCAAGGATAGGCCCACTCCTCGGACCTTCCAATGCCAACACTAGTGGTGATATACTTGAGCACCAATAAAAGTCAGACTAAGGAACAGCTCCGATACCAAATTGTAAGCGACTAAATTTTCCATTTTACTTTAGTCACTTAACCACACGGCTGACCACTTGGAGGAGTCTCATTGACAACTTCCATAAGTTCAACTCAGGACTTGGGGCTTGCTAACCCCGAGAATGGCATCCATGCCACTCAACCTTAGCACTTGGTCCAAGTGCTCCACGTGTCCGATCCCATGATCGACACCCCAAGGTATCACCGACGTACCGGCCTGTTACGCTAAGGCCATGCCCATTTACCTTGGTCACACTGGTGGTCCAACACCACTTGCATCACCGTCTTGGCCCTCCAAGACTAGGCAAACCATCCGTGAGTGGTCATCTCAGATCCACTCCTTAGCATCCTTAGGATGCCCACCGACAAGGGGAATAGCCTTCCCCAATATCCCTCTGTCAGTCTCCACTAAGTCCCTTTCTGCCCCTGGCCGTGTTTGCCAATACTGCCACTGGATCGAGACCCACAGGCCCGACCACTAAGTCCCACGGTCCTCTGGGACTTCCTCACCACACGACTGTGTCCTTGGTCACTACCCCAGAGGACTGCTCCTCTTCCTTTCCATAGTCTGGGCCTTTGGGACAACATTTCGGAACACCGTGGCCTTACGCGAGCCACCTGGGTACTCTCCTCGCCTTCTGCCCTTGGGTGCTCTAGCCATGGGCTTAGAGCGGGTTCCGTTGAGCCACACCAGGTATCCAAGTAGGTAGTGCCACCCACACTTGGACTGGGAGCATCGGCCAGTCGATCTCCCGGGGGAACTAGAGCCGGCTCTTGAACACTTCACCAAGTTACCCCGCTTGTCGGTCCATGTTCACTCTAGTCTTGGACTTCCCAGTGGTCAGCTCATCACCCAACACTGGGTCTGGCCTTCCTGGGCCAAACTGGCCTTTCCTGGCCAAACTGGCTCCACTGCAGTCCTCCCCCTACTATACTTTTGGAGCTCACCAAACCCCCCAGGGTCTGGGAGACGAACGCTTTGGGCTGTCACCCTCTTAGGCTCCGGACTCGGACTCGGACTCGGACTCGGACTCGGACTCAGACTCGGATTCGGACTCGGGCTCGGGCTCGGGCTCGGGCTCGGCCTCGGCCTCGGCCTCGGTCCCGATCTCGGTCTCGGTCTCGGTCTTGGTCTCGGTCCCGGTCTCGGTCTCGACTTCAGACTCAATCTCGGACTCCATCTCGGACTCCATCTCGGGTCCATCTTGGACTCCATCTTGGGTCCATCTCGGACTCCATCTCGGACTCCATCTCGGACTCCATTTCGGGTCCATCTCGGGTCCATCTCGGACTCCATCTCGGACTCCATCTCGGGTCCATCTCGGACTCCACTTCGGACTCCAGCTCGGGTCCATCTCGGGTCCACCTCGGACTCCATCTCGGACTCCATCTCGTACTCCATCTCGGGTCCATCTCAGACTCCACTTCGGACTCCAACTCGGGTCCATCTCGGGTCCACCTCGGACTCCATCTCGGACTCCATCTCGGACTCCATCTCGGGTCCATCTCGGACTCCACTTCGGACTCCAACTCGGGTCCATCTCGGGTCCACCTCGGACTCCACTTCGGACTCCATCTCGGACTCCATCTCGGGTCCACCTCGGACTCCACTTCGGACTCCATCTCGGACTCCATCTCGGGTCCATCTCGGACACTCCCACGTGTCATGTGTTGGTCCTTTTGGGTCCCTTTTTGGAGCCTCGCCTTTTGCTCGTTTTGTGCTTGTTCCTCGAGCACTTCATTGGGAGTTCCACTCCCGCTTTTGACTTTTCAAGTCGAAGCTTTTGGTCCAAACGTGTTACGCTCGTTTGGCTCTCGCTTCGGCCACTACCATGTGGCGCCCTTCCGGCTCCACTTTGGGGCCTAGGGATTTTGTGTCTCACAAGCAAATGGCACGGGTTCGATTCCCATTGATTAGTGGCTACTTAAAAGTATAATATACCCTTGAGCAAGGTATATTCCTACCCCTAAATTTGATATTATACGTATTGGGCATCCATGCGTATGTCCTTCCTCTTGTGTGGAGTATCCACGGACGAAGGTATCCACCGTGGGACTGCAGTACGGGTGGATGACTAGTTGCCTCACATGGAATAGTTAGTCTACACAATAGAAGGATGGTAGATTGAGTGCGGAAATGGAGGTGTTAGTTCCCCTTGGCTCAGTAGGGGTTGTTAGTCAATAGTCAATAAGGACATTGACATCTCTGAAGGGGGGGTGAGTGTAGCGCATGTGATCATGGGATGAGATTTGGATATACTGTCACCGTGGATCCTTGGAACCTTGGGAGATAAATGGGGATAAAATAGCCACTAAGGGCTCTCTCATTAAGCAATTGCCCCTTTTCCAGTTGGCTTAAGGGGAGAGAGATAAGGTGCGCTACAATGTGTTAGACCTCTTATGTCCCTTTTCTAAAGACTCATTCACCAATCATTTCGTACTCATTCCTTAAGCACTTCTTTTAGAGTTGCACTCTTACTCTTGACTTTTTGAGTTGGAGCTTTTGGTCCAAACATGTTACACTACTTAGGCTTCTACTTTGGCCACTGCTATATAGCACATTTTTGGCTCCACTTTGGGGCTTAGGGATTTATGTCTCACATTCAAGGCATGCTAGGGTGTAGGGTGGGCTGCTAGGATGTGCCGGGGAAAGGTGGATCAAACCCACAATCAGGAGATGGTCATGTATAGCCCTTCGACCCCACCCCCACTTGAACCTGGCCATGGCCACTCCCCAGGCAAACCCAAGATCACTGCCCCTACCACCATTCCCAAAAGTGTCTGCTTTGCCCCTGGATCCCGTATTGATCAAGGCACGATCAGCTCCCCAAACCCACCATACCTAGCATTGAACCATCTGCCTAGTCAGTAGTAGATATGACATTCTTGTGTGGGCATCCGTGCGTCTAAGGTGTGGTCCCCATCATCAGCCCTCTTGGTGTGTCTCAAGGGCCATTTAAGTATGTGTGAATCCATTGTATGTGAAAACTTGGCCACTACTAGTGATGCAAGTCACACTCTCCATTGATCCTTACTCATGTCAGCATTTTCACTTCTGTGTTCCTAGCACACCAGCCATTTGGGAGCAGCACATCAAAAACAAAACGTTTCGCTACTAACACTCATGGGGCCATGCCCCTTCGTCCGGCAAAGTGGTGGGGAGTGTTACTGATTGTGGGTCTCATCATGTTGGTGAGCCACTTCTGCCCCAATCATGATTGGTCAAATCCACTTTCCCAATGAACTAGTATGCATTCTCTTACATGATAGTTGCTTCCAAGCCCACCTCCTAGAGTGGTATTTGGCTTCATTGCCAAATACCACCCTTCACTCTCGTGTGCCCCCACGCAATGATCACTTCAAGACCTTAGTGAATGATATGGGCTCTTCCCCTCTCTAGCCTGGATCTTCACACCTAGACTCTATCTGCACAGAGAGCATATAATGCCCGTCTTCAATTTTGCCAGGTGGGCATGGTTGTGCGAGGTGCCAGCCCCCACCTGGTTCTCTACCCCCAGCCCACTTCTCGAGACACTCTACAAAAATATATTTTGCGGAAAACTAGCTATCTCCAATCTTAGTTAGCCTTTCACCCTGAGCCATCTGTCCTCCCCACATTCTACAACATGTTGGGGTGCAGTCCTCCAACAAGGGCTATATGCCCCCCCCCGCCCCCCCCTCCCCGCCCTGTTTAACCTATGAATGGCTAGATCAATTGGGTTTAGGTTGGGTAGAGACCAATGAGACCTAACATCATGGTAAAACCTACACCTACCAGCTTAAGCTACTGCATTCCCATGACTCACTGACCCATGATGCAATAGATATGCCATGAGTCAGTTCCCCTCCTCTACAGCATGGATGTAATGTGGTGGATAGAAAAGGGTTAATAAAGGAATGACTGGGAACAATATAAGGCTTTTCTTAAAGATTTAAGGGTGTGATCTATAAAAGTGTTTGACTTAACAAACTAAATAATGTGGTTATTATAACAACTACTATTGGGAGGAATGATAGAAACTCCTAAATGATATAGAAGTCATACTTGCCACATCACACTAGCATGCCATATTAGATCAGTTATATGAGTGGGGCCATTTCTAAGGTCTTTGTGGTCAGGATCCGTCAATAATATGGCCAGTTGGATGAGTATAACTGGAAAAATTGGGAATTTCCAAACTCCTGCTATGATTATGTGAGTTTTAAAGTTCTTCTATGCTTCCATCTCATTCTTTTGAGCCTTTTCTATCCTTCTTGTTGTGGTGTTCAAGGAAAAAGACATTGCAGGTCGTATGATCTTCAATTGAAACACACCACCAAACGAGTTAAAACATACAGCTAAGATCACCAATCAATCGATCAGCCATAGATTGATTTATATAGATAGATCTCTGATCATGGGTGATCCAAGCTTGTAGATCCACTGCTAAATCAAATGCTTCTGGTAAACATCACCCAAAAAGAAAGCCTGTGGCAAAGTTTTTAGTGTGAGGAACAGCACTTTATGGATTTCCATGCATGTGCCCACCAGAGAATCTAGATACGCTTCAAGGGGTGGGATGAGTTTCTTAATGAATCACTTGTGAAAATGCTATGCCCAAAGTGGGCATTTGCAAGAGGGGTGGACCAAATGACCAAATGGCCAAATGTTAGGAAATCATTCACACATCATGAAACCAACATAATGAACCCGGCGTGACTCGAACACGCAGCCTTCTGATCTGGAGTCAGACGCGCTACTAGGATCCTGATGTGTTGGCAAGTGCTGATTGCAAACCGAAGAAGCTCAGATCTAATATGAAGATGTCGAGTAAACCCACGCTGACGCTATAGTGTTGACTACCATTGACTTTAAAGAGTTCCCGCCTAAACATTTCCTCCATTTTTTCTGCATTTACAAGCATTTTTCTCGTTTTTATTTGTCTATCTACAAGTTAGTCCCTCCCGCCTTTCCCATCACCTTGGAGTCAGCAAGCTCTGGAAGAACAAAAACGCAAAATCACAATCATCAACAGAGCCACGAACAGAGATCTTTACCTCATCGATCTTGATGTCCCGGATGGGCGAGTGATCCCCGGGCGAGAGGCACGAATGCCGGATCCCCTCCACTTCGTCAAAAACCTCCGCCATGCTCGGCCTCGCGTCCTTCTCGTGCGCCAGGCACCGAAACGCGAGCTCCGCCATCCTCTGGATCATACACCTCACCACCGGGTTCCTGCACGCCTGGATCATGAGCGCCGGGTCAATGATCTCATCCAGGCAGTCGGTGGCGATCTTGCCGACCGCCAGCGCCGCCAGGTTGACCTCCCGCTTGTCGCGCGTGAAGTCAACCACCTTCATGCTAGTGATCATCTCCACCAGCACCACCCCGAAGCTGTACACGTCACTCTTGTCGGACAGCTGGAAGCTCTGGTGGTAGTCCGGGTCCACGTACCCGGGCGTGCCTTGCGGCGCGGTCGACACGTGGCTGGCCTCGGTCAGCGCCGTCCGCGACAGCCCAAAGTCGCCAACTTTCGTGTTGAACTCACCGTCCAGGAGAATGTTCGTTGACTTTACGTCGCGGTGGTAAATCGGCGGCGAGCGCGAGTGAAGATACGCGATGCCCTGTGCCGCCTCCGCCGCGATCGCCACCCGGGTGAACCAGTCCAGCCCATCGCCGCGCTCCCGCTGGAGGTGCTCCGCCAGCGTCCCATTGGGGACGAACTCGTAGACGAGGAGCGGATCATAGACCTCGAGGCAGCAGCCCAGGAGCTGGACGAGATTGGGGTGGCTGACGCTCAGCAAAACTTTCACCTCGTTGAGAACTTGCTCGATCCCGTGGGAGCTTATGTGATTGATGCGCTTCACCGCGACGTCGCGGCCGTCCGGGAGCTTGCCCTTGTAGACGGTGCCGTGGCCGCCATGGCCGAGCATCTGGGCCGGGGAGAAGTCCTTGGTGGCGCGCTCCAGGTCCTTGTAGGAGAAGAGGGTGACAGCCTTGGAGCTGCCGGTGCGCGAGACGAGCTTGGCGAGCTGCTTGGCGTCGCGCATGCTGCGGAAGGTGGTGGACAGGCGGCGGCGGTGATGGCGCGAGCGGGCGGCGAGCAGCGCCAGCGCGATCACCACCGCTGCTAGAACTGTAGCTCCAGCGAGAATCCCTGTTTCAAGACCCACGAGTCAGCTCTCTCGATCGTGCATGGATGGAATGAGTGACGCTCAACCAAGAAGATCAACGAGATCAAAGAAGACCTTGGAAGATCGTGCGTGTGCATTCATGACCTCAGCCAAGACCAACACATACAATCCATACAACGATCTAAAGATCCAACGTAACTTACCCGCAAACATGATCGATCCTCGCACGACCTTGGAATGCCGCCGGCCATCTACATAGAACACACGACACAACCAACATTAGCGTACCGCACGGCTTCCAACATACCTGGGCGGCACCCCGCGCGGTAAGGGTCCCCGTGGAACTTCTCCTCACACCTACACGTATGCCCTCCAAACGTCCCCGCCACACACATTGCATTCCTGGCGCACAAACTCCCCTCCGCCGCCGCCACCCCCGCCGCCGCCGGGCAGCTACCATTGAGCCACCACTCGAGCCCCAATCCCTCCCTGGCCTCCACGCTCACGTCCTCGCCCTTCTCCTTGAAAGTAGTCACCAGGCTCGAGAAGCCCGAGCAATTGAAGCTGCCCAGGTCGATGTCGCGCAGCGCGGTAAGGCTGGCGAACTGGAGGTCGTAGCAGCACTGCGGCGTCACGCCGCAGCCGTGCTGCCCACCGGCGGCGTACGGCCAGTGTACCGCGCGGCTGTTGAAATTGCAGTTGTTGTAGCACGCGGTGTTGTTCGTACAGCCGTAGAGCATGAGGAGGTTCCCAAAGGAGAGGGCGTAGTTTGTGTTGTTGGAGATCGTGAAGGAGGAAGGGGCGGTAGCGGCGCCACCAACGCCGGCGCCACCGCCACCGCCGCATCCTTGTGGGTCGATGATGATCACGTTGCTGCGAGTGAAGCCCAGGACGCGGTAGCTGGCGGCGCTGATCTTGAGCTTGAGCGTGCCGTGCTCGCAATGGAGCTTGAGGTGCCCGCAGGAGTGATGCGATGGAGGAGGCGAGCTGGGAGCGATGAAGAAGGGATAGGGCACTGTGGTGTTGCCGCAGCGATAGACGCAATCTGGTGATGCTTGCGCTTCCTCCGCCCGCGGCGATCCTTGGATTGGGATGGCGAGCGAGATCCAGAGAAAGGGAAGAACCAGCGGATGAAAATGGATTCTTCTTCTTCGTCTTCTTCTTCCACTCCCCGAGTAAGCCATTCCCTCCTGGGATCAAGCAATGCGATCCAGCATTTTCCCTGTGGCTGCCGATTAGATCCAAAACCTGGAACCCACTCGAGGAATCAGGAGCGCCCACTAGGCGATTGCAGCCACCCAATTGAGAGATCGTTGCGAGCTCTTCGTCGCTTCTGGTGGGCGCGCGAGGGCGGTGAGAGGAGTGAATCGAATTGATTGAGAGATGGGAGGAGAGGACGGAGGCCCGGATGAATCCCGGCTGGATTTTGCCTGGAACCCGTGACAAGACTGAAGAGGAGGGGGCCGAGAAAGTGGTCTTTAGATAGACCAATGCGGGAAGAACACACACACACAGGGAAAGAAAGATGGAGAAAACAAAAGAGAAAGGAAAGAAAGAGAAGGGATGGGGGAGATTTCAAAGGCGCGCTTGAATGAGATAGAGACCAGCTCTACACAGGACCCTGCGACTACTGCGCACCGCGAATTAAATGCTCCCTCTCTTCTTCTCCAAAAGCGAGCGGGCGACTTACGATTGGATCTGGGGCCGAGCGCTCCACAAATGCGGCCGATCGAATCACACTCCGTCGAATTCGAATCCTCCACGAAATTCCTGGATCAATCACCCGCGAAAAAAGCTCTTTAAAAAAAGCGAAGAAAAGAGCGATTTTTGCTTACCTGATGATCGCGAAGTCGCGAGAACGCGAGAAATCTCGTCGCTTGGGAGGGACCTAAACACAAACCAACCAGTGCGTGAATTGAATGAATGAATGGAGGCAGTAGCTCGCAACGCGAGTGCCTGCCTTTAATGGCGGCTTGCCAGGCGCAGTTAATGAAGGGTCAACCCACCGTCTTTGCTCGTTCGGCTTTACGGTACGAGCTTACGTGCTCTCGCTCGTCTTCCATTTGTGTTTGGCTATGGTGGCGCTCGTCGTTCTCGTTTGGCTGCGTAGCATTGCGGGCGAGCTACAAGGAAAAAAAAAACGTTTTTTGTTTGTCAAACTCAAGAACGTGATAAAACACGGTTCTTCTCGGACTTTTTGGAAGCTTACTGACTTGGAAGTGTTTCTTTTTTTGCGCGATCCAGCTGCGCTTGCTTTTTCTTTTTCTCCGCTGCCAGTTCCATTTGCAAATCCCCGCTGCGCAGCACATTCCACGCCCGCGAGGAATCTCCATCACAAGTTGATGAGGATTGGTTCAGGAAGATTCAATCCCTGGAAAGTGATGTGGAAGGAAAGAATGGAAAAGGTGAGAAGCTTACTGTGTATGTTGTTTAAGCCTGAGCACTTGTGCGATTCCAGAGGATGCGTCTACATTCGGTGTGATCCCCGACACCTCAAGCTCCATGCGCTGTAGAGCCTTGTTTGTTTGATCCCTCCCTGTCAATCAACATCTCCCGCGTCAGATTCTCAGCAAGGAAATGCCTCGTCGATCATTGCTTGCGTATCCTAAGTGAAAAAATAATATACTTCTTAAGGTGCTTACGATCGAGGAACAGGAGCTCGCTTTTTTCCAGCTGCGGTGCCGCTCACGCAGAGCCACAGTTACAACTTAACGTCGAATCTCCTGCAGAAATCGACCAACAAACAAGTGAATCGCGAATTCCATCCGAATAAAATCCACCGCCAACAAACCACCGCTGCCTTGTCTTGGCCGAAATTAAATTCTTGAGCGACTTTCAAACGAGGCAGCCGTTTTTGCGCTCGTTCAGGGATCTTTCGTCACAACAGGACCAGTTGCTCCTCTCGAAGATGGCATTGTCTTAAAAACAGCGATTCTTAAGACATAAGAAAGTGTGATGTCAGGGAGCATATACGGTTGACACTCGCTCACCACAGTTTCCAGCCAAAGTTGAGTGGAAATTCAAAGCATGATCTATCTTGCTCTTAGATCGGGATTCCTGGAACCACACAATACTAGCTGTGTCAAGAACCATCCAGAGCTGATAAAACCACAGAGAGAGGCTTACTGAGACATCTCATGGAGCTGAAAGACAAGCTCTTCTTCTCAAAGCTGGGATTGCCTTAAAACAGAGTCCTGGAATCCAAGCACACTGGGAGCATCAAAGATAAAACTACAAGGACTTACTGAGACATCTTTCTTGAAACTTCGTCACAGAAATCCCGCATTGCCTTAAAAACTGCGAATCCAGCGTCAAAAACTATCCAGAGCTGATCGACTTACCGCGCGACCGACATGGCACAATCCATGAGTTCCACAGAGCAATCTTGAGAGCTTCCTAGATAGCCTCGCTTTCCAGTTCCCAGGGTTTAAAGATGAGATTGCCGATTATCGGCAATGTAAGAAGCGGCGAAGGACGATTACCGTGTTTGGGATCTAATCATGTGTTCTTTAGACCTCCATCGTCGAGCACAAGCAAAACAGCGATTTTGGTATCTTCAGTTAGAAATATCGCATTTGCTTCTTGTAGGATTATTTTGCTTTGAAGCATTTCGAAGCTTTGCGTTAATCAGGTCAGCTGGTGGGATTTCGACTTTCCTATTTTTTTGCCTCCAGCTTATGGTGGACGTTTTGCAGGGATTTAAAGTTCTCGAGGGTTTAGGCTTGTTCAGCAAGGAACCATGCATTTCAAGGAGCTGCTCAGGGCGCTGTGGAGCGATCGCGAGGTGTTTGCCACCGGAGGTGAGATCGATGGCAGCTCGTTCCAGATGCCATCGTCGCTGCTCGTCGAAGGCGCCGGTAATGTCGAGCTTCCTCTCTCGCAAGAGGGTCTTGACAAGCTCAAGGCCGTGTCCCAGCAAGCCCCTTACGGACTTGGAGAGAGGACTGTGGTGGACACGGACGTGAGACGAGCATGGCAGATCAATCCCGGTCGAATCTCCTGCCCCGAAAATCCAAGGTTCTTTTCTTCTGTGGCTCAAGAACTCGCCGCCGCTGGGCTGGCCGCCATGGGACTCGACTCCAAAGCTCTGGAGCTCGACGCTAGGCTCTACAAGCTCCTCCTCTACGAAGCTGGCGGCCACTTCAAGTTCCACAGGGACACGGAGAAAGAGGCTGGCATGTTTGCGACGATGATCGTCCAGCTCCCTACGGCGTCTGGCCACACCGGAGGGGCTCTCACGGTTCGCCAGGGAAGGCAGTGCTCCAGGTTTGATTTCTCCGAGGGGAGCTCCGGCCGCTGCTTCTCGACGATTTTCTTTTGCGACTGCGAGCACCAGCTTGAGGAGGTGGCCAGTGGATCGAGGCTGTGCCTGGTGTTTAGCCTGGTGAGGAACAACGTCGACTTCATACCGGCAGGGACGGTCCCCTCGTTCGTCTCCGCGTTGCCTCGAGTTAGAGCTCTTCTCCAGCAGTGGGCCGAGAGTGGGGATGGAGCAGCAGCCGAGAGTGGAGATGGAGCAGCTATGATAACGCAGCAAGACTACCGCCAACGAAATGAGAGACGTTTCGTTCGTGCCAGGAAGCTTTTGGTGATTCCGCTGGCTCACAAGTACTCGAAGACGAGCCTCTCTTTCGCCGGGCTCAAGGGACACGACCGAGTGGTGGCAGCACTGGTGAGAGCTTGCGAGTGTGGTAATATGAAACGGTGTTGTGTTATTATTATGACGGTTGATACATGGTTAAATGTATGGGTTTATCGTGACGATCCGTGGCGGCGTCTGGATCGCTCACGTGGCTGTGTGCTGACGTGGTCTTGTACACTCCCACACTCCTCCTCAAGGCCAACGTCTAAAGTCAGCCCAAGAGCCTTCGTGAAGACTTCATGTTTAACACGAGGAAGTGGTTTTGTTAGCACGTCCGCTAGCATGGAGTTTGTCGGGCAGAACTCCAGCTCGATCATTCCTCTCTGGATCTGCTCTCGTATAAAATGGAAGCGCAGCTCAATGTGTTTAGTACGAGAGTGGAACCTGGAGTTCTTGGTCAAAGCTATTGCAGACTGGTTGTCACACAATAGCTTGACCACGCCCGTGTTGATTTGTAGATCCTGGAGAAGTCCCTTCAGCCACGCTGCTTCCTTGGTTGCAGCTGCTGCAGCTATGTACTCAGCCTCAGTACTCGACATCGCTGTAATAGCCTGTCGTTTGCTGCACCAGCTTGCGACATTTCCATTTAGCAGGAAAACGTAGCCTGTGGTTGACTTCCTGTTGTCTGGATCCCCGGCCCAATCAGCATCAGAGTAACCAGCCAGCTTATTGCCGCTCTCGCCTCTGGAGTACTTTAAAGTTAGCTGGTTAGTCCCTGCCACGTACCTCATAATACGTTTCAAAGCCTGCCAGTGTGCTGTGGAGGGACGGTCCAGGTACTTCGCCACTGTTCCCACAGCATATGCAAGGTCAGGCCGAGTGGAGATTACCAGGTAGATCAGGCTGCCGACCATAGAGCGATAGACTGCTCTAGATGCTTTCTCCTCCTCGGGAGATTGATCAAGGTACTCTCCACTCTCAGCAGATAATTTCGTGCCTGTTTCCATGGGAGTAGCAACCGGATTAACATGAGCAAGGCCATACCTCTGGAGCACGTCGGAAACATATTTTGCCTGGCTTAGCTCCAGAGTGCCTCGTTCCCTGTTGCGCGTCACCTGGATACCGAGGCAGAAATGCAACTCACCGAGGTCTTTCATGGCAAATTTAGCGCCAAGGTACGTTTTAAATTTGTGGATCAAACGTAGCTGATTTGCCACGAGAATAGCATCGTCCACATATAGCGCAAGGAACAAATAGCCCTCAGCGTCAAAATATATGTAGAGGTTACAATCAGCAGCACTGCGCACGAAACCAAGGGAAATTAGAAAAGAATCTATTTTCGTGTACCATTGGCGTGGCGACTGCTTGAGTCCGTAGAGAGCTTTGTGAAGCTTGCAAACGAGGTGTTCTTCTCCAGGCTGGATAAAACCAGGAGGCTGAGCCACATACACCTCTTCATCGATGTCGCCGTTAAGGAACGCAGTACAAACGTCAAGTTGATGGAGCTCGAGATCCAATTCTGCAGCTAAGATTAGTAGCATACGAATGGTTGTGAGTTTCACCACCGGGCTGTAAGTCTCCGAGTAGTCCAGCCCATGAACTTGAGAAAATCCGCGTGCCACAAATCTCGCCTTGTAGCGCTCAATGCTTCCATCAGCGTTGTACTTTTTCTTAAACAACCACTTGGATGAGACGAGCTTTCTGCGAGCTGGAAGTTCAACCAGCGACCAAGTGTTGTTTTTCTGGAGAGAATCATACTCCTCCTGCATAGCTGCCTGCCAGTGTTCAGCTTCTGGTCCATGTAGAGCCGCTTGGGGACCGAGAGAGGCAGGTGGAGCCGACAGAGCCCAGAAGTAGGCACGCTTTCCTATAGGCATCGCCTCCTTGGCTTTAAGAGATGGTTTCACGACACGACCCGAGCGTGTCACCACTGCTGTGCCGGCTGGAGGAGGTGGTAGCTTGGGAATGCTGGGAGGAGTGGTGGCATCTTGATATAACTCGTCGCCAACGAACAGGTCAGCCACAAGCGTGGAAAGATCTGGCTGTTCATTGGTGCTTGAGGATGCAGCCGCTGTGGCCTGTGGAGTCGTCAGAGGAGGTGTCGAAGGAAGAGAAGTACCGTGATCAGCTCCTCCTGCCAGATCGCCTCCTTCGGGCGCTCCTTCAGCAACTCCTCCTGGCTCTGCAGCGGCTGGATTGTCTGGTGCTGGGTGGAGATGTGGAACGTCGTCCAAAATCTCAGAAAGATCCACCAGAGATGGTGGAGAAACAGGAGGGAGTCTCAGGGTATCTCGATAAAGACGAGCTTCATCAAACACCACATCTCGGCTCACCACCAGTTTCCTGCGCTGGCAGTTATAGAGTCGATAGGCTTTTACCTGGGTGTGATAGCCCATGAAGATGCATTTCTCGCTCTTGGGATCCAGCTTCCGCCGCTGAACATCGGGGATGTGGGCGTAGGCGATGCAACCAAACACCCTCAAGTGCCCTAACTTGGGGCGCTTCCCAGTCCATACTTGAAACGGCACCTGTCCTGTGGAACGTGTTGGCAGCCGGTTCCGGAGGTACACTGCTGTGTTGAGTGCCTCTCCCCAAAACACCTTGGGCATGCCAGCGTGCTGGAGAAGGCAGCGTACACAGTCCATAAGTGTCCTGTTCAGGCGCTCGGCGACCCCATTCTGCTGCGAGGTGTGGGCTGCGGTGTACTCGTGGTGGATGCCAGCCTGAGCAAGAAATGCCAGAAACTCCTTGCTCATATACTCACCGCCGCCATCTGAACGTAGTGTCCGGATGGTACAGCCAGTGGCATTTTCTGCCCAGCTTTTGTAGACCTGGAAGTGATGGTAGATGTCGTGAGAATTGGCATGCCCTAGCCGAGCGTGCCAGAGCTGGAGAGAGTTGGCAGCCCAGGAGCTGGGGCGAATTGCAAGCAAATGCCCCTGCTCGTGAGTTGAGAGGATCAACTGAGCATTGAGCTTGTAGAGAGTCTCAGCTCGTCTACCAAAAGCTACTGGATGGCCAGTCTCGTCAAAGATGGTGCATCCGTCTGCATTGAAGAGTGTTGAGAAGCCTTGATCTGCTGCTACACCAACTGAGAACACTGTCTGTCCTGCTTCTGGTACGTAGTAGACCTGGTTCACGAGCTTCTCAGCTCCACTCTCCAACTTTATGATGACCGTTCCTTGTCCTTCCACTGTTAAGGGGCATTTGTCTCCTACAAAGACTTGCTTCTCCTGCTCCAGTGGCCGGTACTTGTGAAAAGCTCTCTTCAAGGGTGTGAGGTGCATCGAGGCTCCAGAATCCATCCAGAGCACTTCGGCTTCGGACACAGTGGATGAAGATGCAGCGAGCGTCATCATCAACATTGTGTCAGGTTGGCGTGAAGAAGAGCTTCTTTCAGCGCGAGCTTTCTCTGCGGCTTTCTTGATCCGGCATTCACGCTCCACGTGGCCAGCTTTGCCGCAGTAGTTACATGGGCCCTTGCGTTTTTTATTGGTTGCAAATCCAGGGCTGGGAGAAGGGCTCTTTTGTCCTCGAACAGGGCCATCTCGTTTCTTCCCACCCGATTGCTTTCCCATGATCAAGGCCTGCTCCACCCGAGCAGCCTGAGAGGGCGCCTTTTGTCTCCGCTCGTTCTGCTTTCGTTCTTCCTCGATCAGGTCCGAGTAGAGCGAGTCCAAGTCCTTTCCAGGCACTGCCGAGAGCATCGATGCGAAAGGTTGGAGATCAGGGGAGACCGAGCTCAGAAGGAATGCCTTAGCTTGATCGATGGTGATTGCCGCTTCCGCGTCCTTCAGCTCGCTGATCATCGCTTTAAACTTTCCAATGTAAGTGGCCATGGTGTCATCAGGTTGCATTCTCATCGTGAAGAACCTTTGTGTTAGCACCACCTTAGCATTGGCAGCTTTGGCAGCGAAGATTTGTGTAAGGGATGTCCAGTTCTGGTGGGCTGTTTTGGTAAGATCAAGGAGATGAACGAATTCATCCCCAAGACCTAACCCGATGACAGAGAGCGCTTTCCGATTCTTGGAGTCCCAGTCGAGCCGTTGGGTTACATCCGCAGCAGCCGGACGTTGAGTCGTTCCATCCACTATAGGCCAGCAGTCCTTGGCCAAAAGGATAAGCTGTACTTTTGTTTTCCAAGTGGAGAAATTCTGTCCCGTGAACTTTTGGAGAAGTTTCTCCCAGCCCCCAGAGTCCCAAGAATTTCCTGAAGACATTCTATCTATTAATCTAAGAATAGATTAAACAGAGAATTTAGAAAGGACGGCGTGGAGAAGAATCGTGAAAAACTCGGCCGCAACAAGGGCACACCTTCCGGCAGGCTGGGCAAAGAGCTTGTTGGCGCTTTCGCTCCTGGATCTTCCGCTCCACCCGCGCCAGCACTGCCAAAGCCCTCGCGCGCTCCTGAGCCAAGGGTTCCTGGCCCCTTTGATTCTTCATGTGCCACTGTCCTCTGGCCATTAGATCGTTCGCTGCTCCGATACCATGTGGTAATATGAAACGGTGTTGTGTTATTATTATGACGGTTGATACATGGTTAAATGTATGGGTTTATCGTGACGATCCGTGGCGGCGTCTGGATCGCTCACGTGGCTGTGTGCTGACGTGGTCTTGTACACTCCCACAGCGAGTTCCTGGATCTCCATCTGTGCATGCTCACCAAGCACAAGACCGTGACGGACTACTTCCAGAACGAGTACGTGATCGATAACTGGCTCTCCATCGACGACCAGCCGGCCAAGTTCAAGCAGTGGCACATCGATTTCACGCGGCAGGTTCTCAGGTGTGCTCCACCGCCCGCAGGGATGATCATGGAGGACGAAGAGGCCGAGGGCGAGGTTGAAGACCAGAGGAACGAGCGGGACGTGTTTGATTTCATCGAGGACGAGTTCCGCGGCACGGAGATGATGGCGGGCAACGAGGGTGGCAGCGAGCAGTACTTTTACCACGTCGCGGCGCTGGTGGTGTGGCCAAAGGTGGCGAGGAGCTCGACGATCTGCCCGTCGCTCGGGGACATCTCTTGGGTGCTCGAGTGGCTGCGGGAGATTTACGGGGACGAGTTCGCAGCTATGGAGGAGCCCCGGAGGTTCTTGGAAGAGGCAGTGGACGGGTTAACGCGGAAGTTCGCTTCGGTTGCTCCGTGGGGTCAAACGAGGCAGAACGACATGCACTGGCGACTGGCAAGGAACATGAGCAAGAATTTCCAGGAACTCTATCGAGAGCCCGCGATGCTGCTCGAGCTGTGCGTGAAGTCGGGGCTTCGCGAGTCGGCCTTTGCGATCCTCAGGACCTGGGTGGCGGAGCTGATCAGTCTCGACGAGTTTGCGAGAGCAGTGCATGCCTACGGCTGGGAGGCGTGCCGAGAGATCGTGGAGACGGCGCTCGTCGGCGTGTTTCACAGTGGATTCCTTCCGTGGAAGCTGCACCGCTGCGGATGCAACGACGGGGCGGTCGCGGCTGCCAAGCTGCTCTGCCGGAGCGTCGCCACCTCGGAGCAGCCGCAGTACGGGCCAGCGCCATGGCAATCCAGCTTTGGTAGGGATAGCCAGGGGTTCCAGCCGGAAGGTGGTGTCCAGAGCCTGCTCGACTTTTGCCTCGCCAACGGGCTCCGCGACGAGGCCTCCCAGATCCTTGGAAAGGTCCCCCTGGCGGTGCTGAGCTTCCGGATGATGGCTATGGTGGTGCACCACTTCCCGGAGCGCATGACGGAGGTGGAGGTCCTGTGGGAGGAGCAGAGGGTGGCGGTAAGCTCCAGTGATCCATCATCCCGCGATGCAAAGGCGAGCGAGATGAGGTTCATCGGTGGGATTCTCGAGTTCGCGCTGCAGCTGGAAGCTCTGGGACATCTGGAAGTGGCGCGGGCATTTGCGGCAAAGTCTTTGCAGCTGCCCGGCTTCCCAGAGAAGGCGGAGCAATACCAGCCCTGGCGGCAGTGGCTCGATGAACCCGACGTCATGCTGCTCATGCTGCTCGACAAGCCTGAGAACTTACGTGTGAGAACCAGCGAGCACTGTCGCGGTGAGGTGGTCAGGGCGATGCTAAGAGCTGGGCGGTTGATGGGCTTGAAGGACAAGGCGGAGATGAAGCGGCTGTTTTGCGAGCTCTGCAAGGTGGAGCTTGCGGAGGTGATGGACAAGGCGGAGCTGAATTCCTGGGCCGGGGATCCCTCGCCCCTCAATCAGAAGGGCGAGAAGATCAGGCAGTTCACGACGTGGAAGAATTACATGACTTGGGCGGAGCAAAAGGAGTTCCTGGAGATGGCGCTGTTTTGGCTCGAGGACGAGGGAGTGCTCGAGAGGGTGGTGGAGCTGGCGAGCAAGAGGATGAATATGGTGAAGAGGATGGTGGAGGAGGGATTTGTGGAGAAAGCGATCGCGAGCGGGAGCGCTGGATCGAGGCACGCGATGAGGAGGCTTGTGGAGGCGAGGATGGAGTACCTGGCGAGGGAGCCGAGCATGGACGATGTGGAGGGGGATTTCCTGCCGCCGGCGTCCAAGGTGATGAGGATCTGTGGCGCGGTGGATGCGCGGCAGCTCGAGGATAATCCGCGGCAGCTGCGCCGGGCGCACGAGATTGTGGTGGAGAAGTGGAGGGCGATTTGCAAGGATGAGATGGAGTCGCTTCGAGCTTTGAGAGAAATCCTTTGATCTAAATTTTAGGGTTCTTGTTGATTTCCCGCTCGTCCACGTGGCCGCATCGTTGAATGCAGCTGACGTGTCAAGGTTTTGCGCCTTAAACCGTGATGACGTGTGTATCTTAAACACGATGACGTGTGAAAGAATATGCGTTATAGGATCTTAGCTTTATGCCCTTATCATTTATGGAGATGGGAGTGGAATGGGCGAAAGGCTTGAGTCAATACTCATGTTTAAATCCTCGCCATAGTACGCTGGGATTTGGAGCTCTCAAAGCGGACAGGAAAGTTATAAGTACCAGAAGTAGAAATTTTCATGCCAGGGTTGCGAGTGGAGAATCTCAAGGTAAATTTTCACTCGTATAGAAATTCTAGAAAGCTTTCTTTCACAATCGTTCAGTGGGGGAAGTGGATAGCAAAGTCGAGGAGAGCGTTCTGGTGCTAAAGGCCGCTGCCAAGAGCAAGAAAATCCCAGCTCCAGAGGTGTTTGCGGCATTTAGAGTTTTGGAGAAAGCCCGCGTGGATCCATCCAATTTTCTAGAGACTTTGGGAGGAAGTAGTGGAGCTGAGCCAAGGTGCTGGATGCTTGTGTTCGCTTCTGGAGCCAAAGTGGTAAGAAAACTTGTCACAAATCTAGAACTTTGCTCTTAATTTTTGCTTTCAATTTGAAGGTGAGAGAAGCTTTGAAAGGTGGTGGTGGAGGTGGCACATACGTCCCATTCACCGCTGTGCAGCAATACAATGCCACTGTAAGTTTCCAAAAGCTTTCACAAGGATTGGTCGTTAACAATGTGGATCATCACAGACAAAGAGCATACTAAACGGGCTCTACCTCGGCCCTCTTGGTGTGCTAGAATTCATGGGACGCTTCTCATGGTCCAAGAACAAGCTCTTCTTCATCTTCGATTCCCTGAGCGTCAAGGTTGGGCCTCTCGGCCCCTTCCAATTCGCGATCAGCAAGAAAGAAGAGCTGGATCGAGAGCCCGGGAACAAAGATCCTTTCTTCATCTGGTTCTACGCGGACGAAGAAATCGTCGTTGGAAAGGGGTCAGGAGGAGGCATTTTTCTGAGGGTGCGTTGCAATCGAAGAGTTTGAACCCCAGCCGCTAGATCAGAAACTGCAAATCTCAGGCGTTGGTTTTAATCGCATCGTGGCCGTCTGTTCTGAACCTGGCATCGACGGCCATGATGGGCGGGAGACGGACGGGGTTTTGAAGCTGAAGAACCCTAAGAAAAAGAGCGGGGTGGAGGAATGCTCGAGGCGAGCGCGTTGCCAGGTATGGATGTGGATCCACAGCCACAGCCAGCGCAGTCGTACCAGGCAGTGCGCCTGGCGCTGGCCGTTGCGATCGTCAAGTCCCGCGGCGGGGCGGATCGCGGTGGCATTGCGGCCAAGAAGCGGCTCAAGGATGAAATTTCGCTGCTCCGGAGCGAGATCGAGAGGTTGCGCTCCAGCTCCGCGGAGCCGCTGGTGCCGCGCGTCCTGTGCAAGTGCTTCACGGATTCTTCCACTCCGCCTCCTCGCCTGCAGCGAAATATCCTGGCGCAACCGGAGTTCCACGAGGAATCTGTCGCTCGCCTCATGGACTGCGTCCGATTCCTCAATGGCTGCAAGAAACGCCGCCTCCTCGATGCCGGCAACCAAGAACAGGACGAAGAGAGGGCTCGTCGTTTGACGGAGATGGCGAATCTCATCGTCGAGCTCGTGTCAAGTACGAACGTCCAGCTTTTCTCCGTGTGGCTCCACCAGGCTGTGGATTTCTTTGAGAGCTGTGTCTCCAGCATTGGCGGCGAGAGATTCTCCACGGCGGCCCAGAGCGCCACGAAGAGATTGATTGGGAGCCTCGTCGGCAAGGTGATGAGCTTCACGGACTCGGCAGAGAAATCCAAGGACGACGCTCTCAAGCTCGATCACAGGCCTTTCATCGAGAAGGTCCTCCTCCACCTCGCCGAAGTTCCTTGCATCGGCCACAGGATCCTGACCGACGTATCTGGCCAGCTCGCAGTCATTGCCGAGGCGCTGTCGCAGGCGAGAGATCCATTCGCGGAGGACACCACCCAGCTGCTCGAGAATTCCTACTTTCTTCTCGAGCTCATCTCCAAGGTGCTGGATTTTCCCTTCACTGGCTGGCTGGAAAAGTCGATGCTGGATCCCGACTTGCTGGAAGAATTCGTGGCGGAGTTCTTCCGGACCAAGGAGGCCATGCTCCGATCCAACCGGCTAAACTTCCTCTTCGTCGCCTACACAGATCGGATCTGTGCTCAGGTGGTGAAGCAGCTCCACTCGGTCTCGTCAAGTCCACAGTGCAAGGACGTGAAGCTGCAAAAGATCGTCGCCAGCTCTCTCCAGCGTCTCCTGGATCTGGCCTCGTTGAGCTTCCACAGTGGTAAGAAAGAGCTTAGAGCTCTCTTCGTAGGTCTAACGCCACTATCATTTCTTCAGCGAAGCGATCGAACCAATGAAGCATTGCAGGTAGTCCATCTAACTCCCACGATTTTGATTCCTAGTAAAAGCAATCGAATACCATTGTTTCTTCACGATCTCGTCAGCATTGGGTAAGCGTCTCTATTCTTTCATCTCCAATACAGTTGTTCTTTTATTTGTCTAGGACGAATAGCAATTGTTTTCACTTGAATCCAGACCCTAGTGTACATATCAAAGGAATTGCAATATCAGTTGCAATATTTGGTATGCTCAACTCAAGCACCTTCGATTCCCATCGGCTTTAGCTCTTTTGAGAAGATCTCGATTTTCCAAGTTGATAATAAAGATGAGAGGGTTCCAGAGGCCAATTTGTTTGTTATATCAGCCACATCAAGCACATGGGCTACCACCAAGAAAGTGGTGTGATCCACTTAATTAGCTTGTGAAGATTGGTTCATGGGTAGGGAGAGTTTGGGGAGTGTGTTCTGAGCCTGTTGAGGCAATACATGGCCCATTAATAGCAAGCATAAACCAGTTAATGACACATAACATACTTTTATTGGATTAATAAACCTGTTTGTCTGATATAAGCAATAATACAAGTTGTTTATACATGTTTGCCTATGAAGAAGAGGTTAAAGGTTGTCCCACCTTCAGTAATATGGCAAGTCAAGCATATTCCCAATGAGCAAATACATGCCTTTTGACAATAGGAATAAGCTAGTTAAGTGACACATAATATACTTTTATTGAACTAATAGAAGTTCAAAAGCAGAAGGATGGTGGAGATCTAAAAAATAGAACTTGCCTAATCCTGCCCTAATCTCCTCTATCTAAGGCTGTCGCCAGGGGATTTTGGTTCCGAATACCATTGTTTCTTCAAGATTTCATCAGCATCACTATTCTGTTATATGTTTTCTTAGGACAAGACGAGAACTTAGCAACAATCTCTTGAATTCATTCTGACTCCTTTGAATCCAAATCTAATTTCCCAGGGCTCTCCACAAGAGTTCTTGATTGTCTGTATCAACTATTTCTACATTGCCATAGTCAGTTACCAATAAACTTGCCGTTATCACGCAAGAATGCTTATTGTCATGACAATATATATTTGTGTGCCATAGGATACCCTTTCCCTTGTCAACTATGAAAAGATTGCCATCTCTTTTTAATATCGCACAGTAGCAAATATGTGATGTGTTTGGACTCTCCCATATAATAATATGACCCATTTTGTATAAAACAAGTTTACAGTTCATTTCTAGAGTTAATTTGTACTTGTTATTACCAGAGACTAAACTATTTTCTGGTAAAATGTAAGAACCCACAACGCCATAGTCACCTCCAGAGAGCCCAGACCTGAATATCCAGCAGCTTCCCTGATCATTATCATCAAGATTAGAAACTATGTTTGTATGTAGAAGACCATGCAAACTATCCTGATAACTTAGAATTGTGTATTCGATCCTAAAATTCATATATTCTACTCTTATAGCCCCACAGAAAAATGTCCTCTCATTGTTGGATGCCGCTTGTTCTCTCAATGCATCACGTAGGGTAGAAAAATAGGCCCACAAAGTAGCACCACCATATTGCATTGTCCGCACCCCACCCTGTGTACACACCAAAGGAATTGCAGTATCAGTTGAAATATGTGGTGTGCTCACAGCAAGAACAATTCTTATTCCGAATCGACTAAGACTATGCGTGAATGACCAGCTTTGGAGATAATATCTTTCCAGGGTAGAAAATGATGAAATATAATTGGTTATAGCATCTAAAAGACTTTCAAATTCAACCTGTGATAGATAATATGCCATGCTCAAATATGATACTTGTGGTAAAACTCTCGGAACTGCCGGGGGTGGGAATGGCTGAGAGAGTGAAAGTTGGAACAAAACTGATACGATCACAAGCATTTCAGTAGTGTAATTCATTCTGTTGTCATTCCTGGATCAAGAAGGCATGTTTTATATCCAAAATTAAATTACCCCAGCTTTGATTTTATCATACTGTCATCGTCCTTTACAATAGCATACTAAATGAGTTTGAATTGACTGCTATTTTGGCTAATAACTATTAGAATTCTTTTGGTAATATAAGTTTTAAAATGTTTTGCTTTTTCTTCTTGTATTTACTAATCTCTTTACCAATCTTAAATGCATTTTGAAATATACATTGAATTAATTTTATACACTCCAGTTTTATTTTTATTTCCCCCCTCCTCACAGGTTTTCTAAAGCCCCACTCACGGCATATGCCTGAATGTGGATAGCGTTGTGGTGCTTCGTTTTGTGGAACATTTTGCTGGCGTTCACCAGACTGCCACACCTGGAGTAGACGGTGACAAGGCTGCTAGCAACGTAGAGATTGTCTTCCAAACCATTGTTGATAACACTAGCATGGATTTTCCTTGCCTCGTCTATATCTCTAGAAGACTTGAGCTGTGAAAGGACGGGCACAATACTTCTTACACCTGCATTGCTTGAGTGCTGGAAGGAGGACACTAGCCATGGCTGCATTGCACGAAGAATTATGGAGAGCTCGAATATTATCCACCTTGTGATTCTCCTTAAAATTTGCCATATGGCTGAGTTTTATCCACCTTAGTTGCCATGTCAATCAAACAATACTTCAATTATTTCCACCCTTTCTACAGTCATGGCAAGGATGAACACTAGATTCATGTAACAATCTATAACAAAAAATATTAATGTGATTAAGGAATCTTCTAATAGGTATATTCGTTCCCCCCGCAAGTTGCCTATGATTTGCCTGTCCTTGTTACGGTTGACACTCCATCCACGAACTTAGTACGGAAGATAACGTTTGCGTTGTTAAACATCCCCTCTTTCAAAGAGACCACGATGAACTGAGGAACAAGGGAGATAGATGTGAAGTAGAATGTGACTTCAGCACAAGCCAATACCTGGGAGTGAGGAAAGTGTGTCTTTATCATTCGGCCTATGTTCTGGGTGTGACTGAGGTCGAGTGCTGCGTCCACCTGATAGCGAATCTTGTAAAGATGCGATGAGGTTGCTTCCTTACCTCGTCCAGGATGTAGATCGGAGCTGGTTTGTAGAGCAGTAATGCCAGTATGATCGACAGTGCTATGAGGGAGCGCTGGCCTCCGCTTAGTTCCGAGAGGGACTGCTTCCACACCCCTCCAAAACCAACGCGAACCTCGAGGCCATCCAGAAAGCCGCAGCCTTCCGGAGGTTCCAGCTTTGCCATTGATCCCGGTAGCAATGTGGAGAAAATGGATCCGAAATCCCTGGTGTTGAAAACAATGAAGCTGGGATGAAGCAAAACGGCTGAAGCTAGCTTACTTGTTCACGTGTTGCCAAGTAACTTTTAGAGTCTCTTTTTTCTTCTCATCAAGCTCCCTGATCACCGCTTCGATTTTCGCTTTATCATCCTGCCAGCAGCCGATGCACGTCACACGGCAAAGAAAAATTTCACGATTAGCTTACCTGAACTTGGCCTTTCTTCCTCAGCAGCTCACTACATTCTTGTTCAGCTTTTTCGAACATTGTCATGACCTTCGTGTTGACTCTTTTGCCGAGGCTACAAAATAGCACCGCTGTCAGTGAGGAAGAAGCTGTGATCTGCGCTTACTTGTTCTGCTCAGCTTTCTTCCTTTCAAGCTCTTCTCGAGCACTTTTAGGATCGCGACTACTAAAGTCGTAGTCTGTGCCTGGCTTGCCAAAAAATTGTTTCTCAGTGTCAATCCATTTATGATCTTTTCGCAGCTTCTGCAATGTATCTGCACTGTTACGTTGATCTGTCTCCATGCGCTTGATCTTGACAAGGGTAACAGGACGTCAACACCTGAAGTACAAGATTTTCTCCCTACCTCATTAGTGGTTCTTTTGATTTCCAAATTGGCTTCAGTTTGACTTTGACGCAGCTGATTCTGCTCTGTGACTAGAGCATTTATCTGAGAATCGCATTCCTTAAGTTTAGCTCTCCCGTGATTGAGCTGTTCTTCTGCGTTCCGATACTCTTCCTCTAGCTCCCTCACCTTAGAGGCAAAAATTAACATCCACTAGGAAATAATAAACCGAAGGTAAAACCTTTGACGCAAGCTTCTCAACACCAGCTTCCAGCTTCTTTATTTGAGACTCAGACGCGGTCCATTGCTTATGTAGTGCTTGCTTTTCTTGAACTGCAGCCTCCTTTTCCATAATGAGTCGCTCTTTCAGACCTTCATGGTCCTATAAAACTTGTTTCAGACCAAAGGATAGAGAAAAAAACGATGACAAACCTTGAGCTCCTTAGATGCGGACGTCACTTCGCGCTTTACACTTTTTATCTGGGTATCTAAAGCCTTAAGTCGACCTTCACGACCTCGGCCATGCTCTGAAATTGCCTGCTCAAGGTTTTCTGCGGTACCAAGGCATTCTTTGTGATACTCTTCCTTTTTATGAGCTTCCTTCTTCCAATTATCCAGTTCTGCTGCAAGACCAGCTACTGCTTCACTAAGCTGCAGTACAGCACACCAAACTCAGACCACCTGATTGTTGAAAACAAGTTTTACCTTGTGATGCTCGCTTTGTTCTACACGCTTTTCAAATAGTGAAAAGTCATACTGCTTGAGGTCAAGTTGGGACTTCAACTGTTGATATTTCTTGTGGATGGGACTCACTTTGGCAATCTACAATTTACTGATTAACTGGCTGCTTAAGGAGAAGAAGAGATAAGTGCATACCTCGGCATCAACTTCTGCTAACTTATGCCGATGAGTACTTAGTTTTGATTCGGCTTCCGATAAAGCATGGAGCTGCTTTAATAGCTCGCCGCCGCCTCTGCAACATGGGAAAGTTATTAGCAGCTCAGCAATGTACAGTGAGCACGCACTTCCGGGAGCCACCAGTAAGTAAACCACTCGGTTGAAAGATATCACCGTCTAACGTAACAGAAGCAGTCCTTGTATCTTTGTGAAACGCAACCTGCCAGATAACTTTAAAAAGGAACACAAAGTGCGAGACCCACCTGTTTAGCGACGTCCGTAGTCTTGCAGACGAAAGTACCACCAAACACAAATCCCATCGCAGCCTGTGAACAAGAATAAGGCGTATGTGCAACCGGACAAAATTACCTGAAGCTCGCGGTCGTAACCCACAAGCGAAAGCGCTGTTCTACAGTTTTCTGGACCTACCTATAAAACAAAGAATCAACAAATAGTATGCATCAACTGGTACCATGCTGGCCGCCACATCTTGAACTCTGGATGGTATCGTGCTCGCTTGAATCTTGTTAAGCGGAATGATCGTAACCCTCCGGCGCAATTTACCTTTCTCAAGCAGCAGCTTACCAGTCTGTTCTGTATCCACAACAACGTTATAAAGTTTGCTTCCGGCTGCAACCTGCCATAAATAATTCAAAACATCAGTTAAAGCAGGAATAAGGTAACAAACCTCGAGTGCCACCACAGCTGTAGAATCGTCAACACGTATAAGTCGGGCTACGACACCTTTTACCCGACGGCGATCAAAGTTATTGACGGGATCTTCGAAAGAAAACTCTACACCAACCAGACTGCTCCCAAGATTGCTAACTTCTTGTTTCAGATTTTCAACCATCTCAAGCTCTTGCTTCCGACTCTGAGAAACAAAACTTACGGCTAAACACGGAAGACAAACAAGTGAGAAAAGTACCTCTTCCAGTCGCTCCATGTGACCATTTTCATAAGTTACACCCTCCAATGTCTTTAAAATCTTGTCGATTTCAGCTTTTCTCGACTGTAGTTCGACTTGCAGCGAAGACGCTTCTTTCGTTTTGGATTCCAGGGCCTTCTTTTTCTCTTTAAGCTCATTTTCGGTGTGCAGGATTTTGGTGCTAACTTGCTTTAACTCTGTGCTAGCCCGCCCAACGGCAGCTTTTGCATCAGCAAGTTGTTCTGCCAGGGACTTCTGATCTCCACCTCCGCCTTTCCCAGCTTGAACACTCTGAAAACACCAATTAAAGTTCAGAAAGCGGTTACCGCATTCCAGTACCTGGTATTCTGTTTCAAGTTCCTCCAGCAATTTGGAAAGGTTGTTTGTTTTTTCTCGAATCCCTGACGACTCGGTGTCTCCTTTTTGAATAGCGTTAACTTTCTGGTCTACAAGGCAGTCCAAATCGGCCATGTTCTTCAAAAGCTGCAAGGCCAGCAAAACACTTCAGGCCAAATTAGAAGAAAAAAAAAAAGGTGCTTCGTACCCTCTCTGCTGAGACTCTTTCGGCATCTAGTAGATCTTTCTCGTTTGTAAAAGCCGATGTTTCTTTGACAAGTGAACTTGAAAGCTTGTCAACAACATCAGCCAGACCTTTCATCTCTTGACCAGTTTTCTTTTCCTTCGCAGACGTTAATTCCCGAATAGTGGCCTCCTTATCTTGAATCTGTGCTTCGATAGTGTTTATATTTTCCTGCAAACCGTCTATCTTGGACTTCAGAGCATCTATCTCGCTGGTTCCCGCATTCTTAATCTTCTCAGCCTCCACGTAACGATACGCAGTGCAAAACCTGTCAAGCCGTTCTATGTCCTCGTTAGCTTTTGCCCATTGCATGTACTGGCACTTTTCCTTTTTGAGCTTGTCCAGTGCCGGAAGAATCTCTTGTTCGAGCATCTGATCAATCTCGTTCACCTTAGTCTGCTTCTTCTCCAAGGTTTTCAGCGCTGCCACTCTTTTCGTCTCGTACATCCGGGTCCCAGCAGCTTCTTCCAGCATCGACAGTATCTCATGGGGCTTCATGTTGAGAACTTTGGTGATCCGGCCTTGCATGATCAGAAAATGCGGGTTGTTCACATTGAGCTGGACTGAATGGAAAAGATTCTGGACTCTGCTGGGCTGCGCAACATGACCATTGATAAGATACTTATTTCTTCCACCCACAACCACCTGTAAGCCCACCAAAGAGCCAGTAAGCTCATTAAGCACAGAAAGAAAAGAATCTAAGTAGAAAAATCCCAAAAGAACAAAGCAAGGGGCAGTACCTGGCGAGTGACAGTGATCTCACTCATATCTTCAAATCCAATAGGACTTCGGCTACGATCAGAGTTATCAAAAGTGACCGAGACGGTCGCCTTGGTAACACCCGCCTGGCCCTGCTTGTAGACGAGCTCGTTGAGATTACTGGCGCGGACCTGTTCCAGCTTGGTAATCCCCAGCACGAAGCAGATCGAGTCCAGGATGTTGGATTTCCCGGAGCCATTCAAGCCGGTGATGGCGTTGAAGCAGGGATCGAAATTTGAGACGAATGTGCTCGTCGCATAAGATTTGAAGCCCTCTAGACTGATCTCCTTGACGAACATCGCGGCAACCTAGTGGCTCACCTCTCGCCGCGCCGCGCCGCTTCGCTGCCCGCCATTCATTCCCGCCGACACGGGGAGCTCCAGAGCTAAGAACCCTAAATGGCAAAATGGCGGGAAATTCAAATGGCAAAAGCCAGAAGCTGACACGTGGCCACGATCCGACGGTTACAAAAAACGCGAACAGGGTAAAAAAGGGTAAAGAAGCAAAAACACTGAATTTTTTTCTTTCTTCACTTTGTGTAGCCGGGGTCCGCGAGAACAGCGCTGGAGACCTGTTGTTCCTGGGCTTTGAGTAATTCCACAAATTCTCCCACGGTTTCATGAAACTGCTCTAGTGCTGATGCTGGAAGAATGATTGCCGATCGATCACCACCAATTACCTGGGGACAAAATAGCCTTAGAAAATAATTCTAGGAAATCAATCGCTCTAGAAAAAAAAACTATGGAGTGAGCTAGCGAGGAGATCAATGAATCGAATTGTATGAAGTTTACCTCTGAGATTCGAAGGTACTGGCCCCGGGCATTGGAGCCGAGATCAAAGAAGAACTTTTTTTGCTCGGCTCGCAAAACTCTGGCAGTGGAGCTCATCCGACTCGTATCGTTGCTCGGAGGAGCTACGGTCGGGCCGTTCCTTACGGGTCCGTCGTAGAATCCAGCGTTGATGGGCGACGACTCTGGAGCTCCAATCTTTGAGGAAAAAGAGGAAAATCAAACTTTGGAACTTGAGAAGAACTTGAGAACTTACTTGACGGTTCTCGATGGAAGACAAGAGCATCTGCGATGCCTCGTGAATTTCCGCTAGAACATGTCGGAATTGGACCCAGCCCTCGTCGGCATCGTTGCCAGAGGGAACGATGATCGTGCTTCGGACCGACGCTGCCGAGACTTCCGAGATCTACCAACATGGAAATTCATTCTCTTGTTCGAGCTCAAGAGTTCAAAGCTTCCCTCCAAAGGAAAAAAGAACTCGCTCATCACTCACCTTGAGAAACCGGCCTCGAGGATTCTCCCCAACATCAAAGTAGAACACCTGCGCAGGATCGATCGATTGAGTGTGATGAATCTCTCTTAGGGAAAAGACACTAAAGCAAACCTTGGTATCCATCTGGAGCTCCTTGCTCTCGAACTTATCATCCCCGTTAGAGTAGAGGTTAAAGAGATCCAAAAACCACACAATGCCGCTCTCCGGGACGATAATTGTGGAGCGCGAGGTGGTTGTCTTCTCCGAGATTTTCAGGTATCGGCCGCGCGGATTCTCCTTGAGGTCGAAGTAGAAGAGCTTGTGCTCCACTTGCAAGCTCTTGGACATGAGCTCCACATCGCCTCCGGTGACGCCATCCATCGCAATCCGGGCGCTCGCAGCTCGCTGCCGCGGAGAATCTGCGAGAACAAGCCTCAATCCGCCTCCATTTTTTCAAAACCGATCGCTCACACGCCCCCAAACCCTACCGCCAGGCAAACCCTAGCTCTTGCGGTTTGTTCGCGGTAACCAAGCAACGAGATCGTGACACGTGTCAGCCGCGCATTCAAAAGCTCGGTTTGCATTTAAACCTTAGGGCTTTCTTTAGCCTGGACATTAAAGGATCCACGTCATAACTGACAATAGTTATCGTGTAAACTAGCATTAGTAATAGCTTCGTCTGGGATTCCATGAGGGGAGGGCCACGCGACGTACCTAGGGATTTGATCGCCAGGCATCAACACTGGCAAGATGAGAGACTGTCAATGCAAGAACACACTCGATTAGCTCCTCGAGAACCAGGAAAAAAGTTCTTCCCACCTGTTTGGTGCACTTGGGTGGATCGATTTCGCAGCATCGATCGCCGGCGGCGCCATCAGCAGCGGAGGAACTCGTCGCGGATGAATCCATGGCGGAGCTCCGGTTTGCAGTGAGCCTGCCAGTGTGGCTCCGGATCTTCTCCCAGTGGTAGCAGCAAGAGAAGAGAGTACTCACTCCGAAAACGAGGAAGAGGATGAGCGCTGTGCCCAGAGGGAATCCCAGCGCTGGCCTAGTCGCGGCGGAGCCACTGGCGGCGATCGAAGACGACGCTGGCGGAGGAGCGCTCGATTCCTCCTCTGGAACTCTTCTGTGCGCGTTTCCCAAGTCTTCGAGCATCCCGCGGCTGCCATATCCTTCCTCGAGCAGCGCCATCAAGACTAGAATCCTCGCAGCCATTGGAATCGATATCGTCTCTTCTCCCGCCTCGTCGATCAAATGTGAGAGCTCCCGACATTAGAGTGATCGATCGCAGCGTCTCCCCATTAGGTAGTCCCGGGATTTCCCTAGCCCAGCGTTAAGAGCCGGATCGAGGGAGAATATACCCATTTTGACTATTTTGCAAAGGATTCACGTCACCAAACGTTTGTTTTGCCTCTTGTATATATCTGCTCTGACGTTGCCTCGAAAATCTTTCTTGGTTGTCTCTTCCATTCGTTGCCAGCTGGAATCGAATATTCAATTATAGTTACCCGGAGGTGACACCTTTAGTTACCTGTCCACTTGTGTCAAAACCCTGTGGGCGAGCTCCAGGTCACCTTGAACCCGGCAAGAACTCAACAGGCTTTTCCAGGACAGTAATAAACTTCTACCCTTCCAGGGGTTTACATTTACAGTCACCTCCTGGATAAATCTCTCAGCCTCGTCTAGTAACCCCGCCCTTCCAAGCATGTCGACAAGGCAGCTATAGTGTTCCTCCTTTTGGCCCACGCCAAACTCCCCGTACATTTCGGCCATAAAATGCCAGCCCTCCCGTACGCGCCCGCCGTGACTGCAAGCTGAGATGATACCGACGAAGGCGATCTCGTCAGGCTGGCAGCCGTCCAATCCCATCCGTTGAAACGCTTCCAATGCTTGTTCCATATGCCCGTTTCGGGCGTATGCGACTACCAGCGCAGTCCACGCGAGGAGGTTTTTGGTGGGAATCGAACAGAACACCTGGAAAGCGTCGCCTACCATGCCGTACTCGCCGTACATGGTGACAAGCCCGGTGGCGACTTTCACATGCTGGAGAAAGCCCGTACGGATGGCCCTGTCGTGGATGGAGCGCCGGAAGAGGGTGGCGCCGGGCCCTCCGATCCGGCAGGCATCGACGGCCAGGATCATCGTGATATAGTCGAGCTTTACGCCTTCCACGTCCATTTCGCGAAACAAAAGAATGGCCTCGCGTGGGAGATTGCTTTCGACGTAGACGCCGAGAAGGACGTTCCAGCAAGAGGCGGCATTTGCCGTTTTCGTGATCTCCCGGAACAGGCAAGTTGCGTCGTCAAGAGCTCCAGATCTGCCAAAACAATTCACGAGAGAGTTTGCGACCCTCGTGTTTGCAAGATAGCCCGCCTCGCTCGCGACATTGTAGATGGTTCTCAAATCGCGAATCCTTTTGAAGCACGAGCAGCTAAGAACTGCGAGGAAGCTCACGTCGTCTGGATGAAACTCGCCCTCCAAAAGCAGCATCTCAAACACTTCCACTGCTTCTTGGGGCCGATCGTTCAGGGAGAACCCCGAGATCAAGCAGTTGTAAGAACTCAAATCCCTTTTTGAGCAATCAACATGGAGCAAGCGTCTGGAATCGTCTACACGACCATTGGACCCAAATGCCCACGCCATGGCATTCCATGAAACGGTGCTCTTGTCTTTCAGCTCTTGGAAAACCTTCGTTGCATCATCGAGAGCTCCGAATCGTCCATACATTGTGATCAGGGCATTTGCCACCTTCGTTTCTAGAGCATAACCAGAAGCTCCAGCTCTCGAGTGCATGAGCCTGGCTTTTCGAAAATCGTTTAACCCCGAGCATGACTCGATAATTGCGAGAAACGTGATCCGATCGGCCCTGACACCGTCGAGATCCATAAGCTGTAATAGTTTAAGAGCGCCTTTGTAATGCCCATGTCGGGCATGTCCAGTTATCAAGGCGTTCCAAGCAAACAAATTGCGTTCTTGCATGCTGTCAAAAACAATCTTAGCTTGATCAAGTTTTGCAGCTTCTGCGTAAGCCATTATCATTGTCGTCTCCGAGACAACGTTCTTTTCAGGCATTGTGTCAAAGACAAACTTTGCCTCATCCAGATGCCCAGAGCGGGCATACACTGTTAGTATGATAGTCCACGAGAAAACATTCTTGTTGGCGATTGCATCAAACACCCTCCTAGCCTCATCGATGCCCCCACACCTTCCGTACATCTCAATCACGAGATTTGCCGTAAAAGTTTGGTTCTTGCGATAATTCTCCACAGCGAGCGAGTGGAGCGTCCTGGCCTCGACCAAACTGTTGCAACGGCGAATGCTGGAAACCAGATCTACTGTTTGGTTTGCTGCGGCCATGATGGCTCATCACAAGAACCACCATAGCTTTCTCTTAGATCAGATTTTCCACTCAAGATCCAAGTGCCAAAAATTCATCTCTCAAGGGCAAAATGTCGTTGTAATTGGGCGAATTGACACGCTGCACGAGTGACGTGGCGGGGCCAGCGTAAAATAGGTCCAAAAGCGATTGCTGAGCTGGCAGACTTTTGCGCTTTTTCATTAGGCTTTGGGCTTAAACCCTATCCACACTCTCGTGCTCGCTCGAGGCTGGAATTGGCCGCCTCCACGCCGCTCCCAAGCGATCGAGGCGATTAGATCGGCGCTCGCGGCCCTGGATCCTCCTCGCATCATCGAAATGCCGGCGCTGGCGCTGGGAATAGGGGTTGGGCGCTGCTAGGAAATCGGCGACGGAGGTGGGGTTTTAGTCTTAGATGCTGCTTGCGGAGATTTGCGGGGGAGGAATTCGCCTTCCAGATGGACTGCTCGCTTGCCACATATCGTTGCGGCCATCAGCTTGCGAGTTTTCTCTGGTTCCTCTACTCGCCGTCATAGAAACTTAAAGGTCCTATCCAGGTACTTCACGAGAGAGAATATAGATCAAGTTCTTCTGGTCCACACAGGTTCTTCACGAAGCAAATCAAAATATCTGCGATAAGCCAACTTTACGCAAGTTCTTTGGAGACAAATGACTTGAAAACGGAGGTTTTCTACACAGGTAGTAGAAATAGTTCTAGAGAAGGAAAAGCGGGGACTTTGATGGAGAGACCTTGCGACTTTTGTGGGGACGAACGAGCCACTGTCTACTGCAAGGCCGATGCTGCGCTCCTGTGCCTGTCGTGTGACCGCAACGTTCACGAAGCAAACGCTCTCTCCAGGAGGCACTCGAGAACTCTGGTGTGCGATATGTGCGTCGTCCAGCCTGCTGTGGTTCGCTGTGGAGCGGAAAGCAAGGCCTTTTGCCAGGCCTGCGACGGCAAAAGACACGCAGAGTACCGAGCTATGCACCACAAGAGGCGCGCTATTGTATCCTACACGGGATGTCCTTCGTCGGCGGAGCTTGCTCGGCTATGGTACTGTGATGTGTCCGATGAACCAGGAAGTGGAAGTGGAAGTGGAAATGGAAGCGGGAAGGGATCTACGTCTAAAAGTCTGGAGACCCTTCAAGGTTGGCTACCGGCGTCAAGTCAGTCGCAGCAGCAGCTCCACCACCCTTCAACTCCACAGGTAGCGTTTTGCTTTTCTTTCGAGGCCTTTCAAATGGTTTTTTGGTTTTTTTTTTTTGTCTTGCTTTTCTTTCCAGAGCCGGGAGAAGAAGATCTTCCAGCAGCTGATGATCTTGCAAAGTCGGCCCCCACAGCAGGCACTCGGGCATCAACAGCGAGAGAAAGCCATCACGCAAGCACAGACTTTGATGCCTCCACCTCCACCGAGGCCTTCGACGAGCAGCAGCAGCGGTGTTGCGGAGATCCAGAACCAGACGGCTCAACTTGGCCTCCACAGCCCGTCCTCAAAGCCCGAGAGTGGCGAGATTTTTCCTCAGCAGGGTGAGAACGCCTGGAAGGCAGCGAGTCCAGACCAGCAGGTGCATTAAATTTTCTTGCTACCGTCTCTACTGACCAGGCCTCCAGCCGAATCTCGTCTTAGTTGGTTATCTTGCCAGCATCCAAAAGGTCGACTAACGCTGTCCAGCTGATATTTCTTGTTTCCAGCTTGCTGTTGCTAGAATGCCCGTCATGTCGGGTCCTTTCTCCTTTACTTCTTTGTCGATACTCATACTCTTTTTTTTTTAATTCCTTTGCAGCTCTGGAACAACGCGCAGGACATGGGAATCGATGATATCTGCAAAGCGCTGACGGCTGACGACGTGAATGTCTTTGACAACTACGAAGATCTTTTCCTCTCGGCCCAGGACGCCGCTGGAACCCCGTTTCAAGACATTGGAATCGCGTGCCCGAGCATGGCTCCGGCCATGAGCTCCAAGAGCATGCAAAACGTAAGCAGTCTCTAGCCTAGAGGAGCTAAAAGAGCTAAAACTTTTCCAGGGATGCTCGAGCATGGACACTGCAAACTCTCTCCAGTCGGACGCTTCCGAGTCGGCGTGTAGAGGCCCTTTCCATCCGGCAGCAGCAGCGGGAAACGTCCAGTTCTCTCCGAGGCCGGCTTGCTCCAGTGGAGTGAGCGGAGATAGCAGTGGCACCGAGTACGCGGACTGTGCTTCGGTGTTTTACGCGGCTGGAGAGCTGTGGAGCTCGACTAGCTCGGATCCCGCGGCGGCCTCGGAGGCAAGAGGGAATGCCATGCTCCGGTACAAGGAAAAGAGGAAAACTCGCAAGTACGTTGGTCTTCCATTTTGTTTCATTTGAGTTTTGTTTCTCACAAGTTTTGTCACAGATACGAGAAGCGAATCCGGTATGAATCTCGCAAGACTCGTGCTGATACAAGACGGCGGATAAAAGGCCGCTTTGTGAAGGCCGGGCAAGTCTACGACTATGATCCGCTCTCTACAACGAGAAGCTACTGAAATTCTTTTTGGAACTTCTTATATATGTATTGTAAAATCATCTAAAGCTTCAAAAAAGTTGTATATAATTTGCTGTATAATCCCATACCAACTTATTCAAGTATCGAAGTGTTTAATATCAACATCTCTTTCTTTTTGTTCTTCAGTATTGTATTCTTGATTAGATTACTATAAACTCTTTTTTTTCAAGAACGAGTAGCATGGAAAATAAGTCTCTACTTCTTAACTCTTTAGACAAGCTCCTCGAGTACATGAGCTCCACAATCTTCTCATCTCCAACATGTTGCTCGATGAAGGGCTTGCTTATGGCCTTGAACGCCCTCATTGAGTCACTAGGTTGACGAGGAGGAATCTGGACTTTCGAAACTTCTCTGTGAATCACCTTGAACTCCTCCTTCACTGAATCCAATGCATCTTGGACCTCATGACAGCTGCGAAAATAGACGGGAAAGTTGAAGGTGTCCAAGCTCTCTTGGCTTATAATCCCCTGCAAATGTGATGGCATAGGAACAAGCATTGATTTTTGTGAAGATTTTATACCTCTTGAATGAGATCCTTCCACGCTTCTTGGAAACCATTGTGCAGAGGCCCTTCAAGATCTCGTGTGGTTCTTATGAGAAATTTGGAGACAAGGAGGCCTCCAGTGACTAGTTCTTGAGCTCGGCACTGGAGAAAGTTCTGGAGGTCCTCCTTAGCTTGCCGAACAACTGCTTCAATTGCTGCTTGGGGCGAGGATCTGTCTATGTACATGGTGCCTTTGTTCCAAGCTGGTGACTCCTTGTTAGTGATTTCCTCCGGGATCTACACATAGAAGCCATTCACTTACATCAGAACCAACACAAACTTATACCTTTGAGAGGGAATGTAATGCGAAGGTTGTCATTGCAAAGTGGATGGAAGAGCGAGGAAAGAGCCTGAGGTAGAATGATCCAGGAACTCCACTGAAGAAGTACGGCTTGCCTTGGAGGTGTGGAACTAGAGAAAAGAGCGTGTTGAAGTCATTGGCAGTGATATCCGAGAAAATGGCTTGGATCTCCAAAGAGGAAGACGAAGACGAAGAAAGCTTTAGATCTCGCAGCTCGATTATCTCTCGCGCTACAAAGTCAACGGCATGAATTGCATTGGATCCGTGGGAGCATCCCAAGTCGGCTACTCTAATCACTTCCAGGGATGGATCAACTAAGAGTGCATTTCTTGCCATAGCTTGCTTGATTTTGGCCTCGCCATCCTTGAAGCCTTGAGCCTGCACAGTTGAATGATGAGTGTAACCAGTGCCTCGCTCCATAATTTTTGTAAACCCTACTAATCTCTATGCTAGTACTGGAAAAAGGACTAAATTATATGTGTTAGACAAACCAAGATCCAGAGTTTTAAACGTGAATATTTCGAAAAAATGTAACGTAGTATATGAAGTAAGCCCTATAAAAACAAAAAGAAAATTAGGGATTCCTAATCTCTCGCCTTCGATTATCGCCATAATCCTCATTAGTTCCTCATTATATCGTCATAGTTAAACCATGGACACCGTGAGCTCCTACGCCACGCTCCTCCGCCAGTGCTCCACTCCCTCCTCGATCAACCAAGGCCGCCAGCTCCACCGCCAAATCGTCCACGCCGGCCTCGCCACCGATCGCTTCCTCTCCAATCTCCTCCTCCAAATGTATGGCAAATGCGGCGACCTCGACTCCTTGCTCCGCGTCTTCCACTCCATCCCCACCAAGAACGCCTTCTCCTGGAGCATCGCCATCTCGGCCCTGGTCGACCACCGCAATCTCCCCCTGGCGCACTCCCTCTTCGATCAAATGCCCACCAAGGACGAGTTCTCCGCCACCGCGCTGCTAGCAGGCTATGCCGCGGCCGGGGACCTCCCCTCCGCGGAGAAGCTCTTCCACTCCATGCCCTCCAGGGACACCATCGCCTGGAACTCCATGATCGCCGCCTACGCCCGCCACGGCCGGATGATCCACGCCAAGACCACCTTCGACGCCGCGCCGAGGAGAAACTCCTCCTCCTGGAACGCGATGATCGCCGGGTATGCCCAGAACGGGCACTGCAAGGCCGCGCTCCACCTCTTCCGCGCCATGAACAACGAAGGCCAGCGCTGCGACATGGTCACCTTCGTTGCCGCCATCGATGCCTGCGCCGGCCTCTCGGCGCTCGTCGCTGGGAGATCACTCCACTCCATCGCAGCCGCGGCCGGGCTCGTCGCCCACGTCGAGATCTCCACCGCCATCGTCAACATGTACGCCAAGTGTGGCAATCTCGACGACGCCACCATTGTCTTCTCGAGTATCCGGAACAAGAACTTGATCTCCTGGTCTACCATGATCACGGCCTTCGTCCAAAACGGCCACACCGATCGAGCTCTCGATGCTTTCCTGGCCATGAACGTCGACGGCCTCTTCCCCGACGCTGTCACCTTCAAGAGCATCCTCTCGGCTTGCAGCCATGCCGGCCTCTTCGAGCACGGCTTCTTCCACTTCGACCTCCTCGTCCACGACTTCGGCATCACTCCCACCATGGACCACTTCAAGTGCATGGTCGATCTTCTCGGGCGATCCGGACGCTTGCTCGAGGCCGAGGAGCTCGTCCAGACCATGCCTTTCGTCCCGGACGATGTAACTTGGAACACTCTCCTCGCCGCCTGCCGCGTCCACAAGAGCGTCGAGAGAGGGAAGCGAGCCGCGGAGGTGCTGCTGGAGCTCACCAGCGAGATCCCTGGCTACTACGTCCTGCTGTCCAACATCCATGCCGCGGCTGGAGATCACGCCGAGAAGGCGAAAGTGAGGGACCTGATGGAAGCCCGCGGCGTGAGGAAGAAGCCCGGGTGGAGCACCATCGAGATCAATGACCGCTTCCACGAGTTCACGGCCGGGGAGAAGTTCCAGCACCCCAAGAAGCAGCAGATCCTGGAAGAGCTCAAGCGGCTGAGTGTTCTCATGAAGGAAGACGGCTACGTACCAGATACCACCGAGGTGCTCAGGCTCGTGAACGAGGACGAGAAGGAGAGCCTCCTCTTCTTCCACAGCGAGAAGCTCGCCATCGCCTGTGGTCTCATCAGCACTCCACCGGGAACGACGCTGAGAGTTGTCAAGAACCTGAGAGTCTGCTCCGACTGCCACTCGGCCACCAAGTTCATTTCCAAGATCACGGGGCGGAAGATCATTGTCCGGGACCTCAACCGCTTCCACCACACCGAGAACGGTGTTTGCTCCTGCGGCGACTACTGGTGAGCGAGCAGGTTCCTCCTCCCCCAAGCTTGAATCATTTCTCCGAGTGGAGATTCGACAGCAGGATGTATGGAGCTCCGTGCTCCGGATCCAGTTCGAAGACGTTCTCCGCTGCTCGAGAACCCTGCCCGGCTCCGCTCGAGCTGTTGCATGCGCTCAGCAGCGTCCTCCACGACAAACCATCCGGCTCAAACGGCATCGTCTCGATCAAGTCCTCGGCCTCTTTCACCTGTCCGGCCCGAGCTAAAGTATCCACCATGCACACGTAGTGCCGATACTCCGGCTCGCAGCCATACTCCTCTCTCATTGAAGTGAACTGCTCCAAGGCCACTCGCAAAAGTCCGGCGTGACTGCACGCCGAGAGGACGCTCATGAGCGTCACCTTGTTGGGCTTGACACCGTCGAGCAGCATATAGTAGTACGTATCCAGTACCATCAGCCACTGACCGTTGTGAGCACAGGCAGCCACCATGGAGCTCCACATTACCATGTCCTTGAGCGGCATTCGATCAAACAGCGACTTTGCTTGGCTCAAGCTCCCGCACTTGCTAAACATGTCCAGCAGCGCAGTCACCACGGTTACGTCGGTTTCCAGATGTGTCCCAATGATGTCCTCGTAGATTATCCGGCCAACTTCTATAGCCGAGAGGTTGCCGCAGACGTAGAGAGTGGTGATAAAAGTCACACCGTCGGGGCGCTCGCCTTCCAGGTCCATCAACCGGAACTGGAGAAGGGCCTCCTTGCTATGACCGTTCTGGGCATAAGCTCCCACCATTGCCGACCAGGAAATAAAACTCTTCACCGGCATCTTGTCAAAAGTAGCCTTTGCTTCCTCGACTTTGGAACTCCTGGCGTAGGCCACCAGGAGAGCTGTCCAAGCTATCACATTCTGCTCCGGCATATCGTCGAATGCCTTCTTCGCGTCTTCCCAGCACCCGCAGCAGCCATACATGTTGACGAGAGCGTTTCCCACTTTCTCTGCTGTGTGAAACCCCATCTCGGCGGCATTTGAATGAACAAGCCGGCCAGCTTCCAGCAAAGCGACTGTAGCACAGGCGTCCACAGTGCTCACAAAGGTGCTCTCCGTCGGCTTCACACCTTCCTGTCTCATCCTCCTGTACATCACTAGAGCCTCGTCGCAATGCCCGTTCTGGGCATAGCCGGCTATCATAGCGTTCCAAGGCACGGCAGTCCGGACTGGCATCTCGTCGAACAACTTCCTGGCTTCCTGGAGATAACCATTCTGGGCATAGTTCGAAACCATAGCCGTCCACGAAACCACGTTCTTCTCCGTCATCGCGTCAAAAATCTTCCTTGCTTCCTGGAGATATCCGTTCTCGGCATAAGCTGCCACCATGATGGTCCACGAGAAGACGTTGGGTTCCTGGATCCTGTCAAATGCCTTCTTCGCCTCTGCCACACTCCCACACCTCCCGTACATCTGGACCACCAGATTTCCCAGAAACGTTTCCTGATCAAAGCCGCGGTTGATGATGTAGTCGTGAAGTGAACGCCCCTTCAACAAGGCCCGCTCGTGAGTGTAGTGCCGAAAGAGAGATACCACCGTGTTGAAAGCTAGTTGTCTCCCGGCAAAAAGAACGCTCTTGTCTCCGTCACCTCCGACCGCGTCATGAACGCTACAGCAGACGTTCGACATTCCTCTCGAGCGTTTAAAACAAAACTGTTCACGCGACTGGCCTATCCCATGTCGTTTCAGATGTTTCTAAGTTTCCGTAATAGACATCACCAGATTTTTCATCGTAGAAAGCCTGATATATGCAATATCAGTACATAGCCTAGATCAAAACACTCAATCGTACCTTCCACCCCGGTGCAAGACCTTTCGAAAGCACGTCCAGATTTGGATGCTTCTTGCTTGTTGAAGAAACTTTTGATTGACCTTCTTTCCTTGCTCGCTTCACCCTATCCCTCCTGGAAGTGTGTTCATCATCAGGCAAAGGCAGTAAGTGGACGTCAGACTTACCAGTCTATTGGTCCTAGAGGTTGAAAATTGACGTTGTCCAAAGCTTGTCCACTTGCAATCTGCTCCCTGCGCCAATCATCAATCTCTCTTTGCCGCTTTCTTTCTATTGCCTCGTGATCATATAGTTCTTTCTCGCCATCTTCATCATCACTTTCATGCAACTCTTGCTTCGCAGCCATCCACTGCAGAAAAGACACAACCAAAAATTTACTTAGAACCCAATCAAATTGAGAAAAACAAAACACTACCTTGTTTACAAGGGATGACATTTTGCTTGTTTTACTCACGAGAACTGGCGCATTTCCCTTCTTCATTCGCGTAGCTGCACACATGCTAGCGTCAGAACCACACATCTGACATAAAGACACGAAATACCTTTACTTGCTTTTTTAGCAGCGGCTGCCGCTGCTTCCACAAGTGCCGCACTGCTCGCAGATGTAGAAGTCTCCATTTCTCCGCGGGGTGGAACCGCGTCTCTGTTGGTTGTCAGATCAGAAAGAGGTTCTTGCGCTGGCGGCGGGGGAATAATTTCTGGCTCGGGAGGTGGCGGAGGAGCAGAGTCTTCATCAGGTGGCGGCACAGCCTGCTGGATCATTTCAGGTTCCTCAATATCCATATCGACCTCCATATCAACATCTTCGTCTTCAGCTCTCACACCAGCCTCTTGCTCTTGCTGCTCGGCTACAAGCAATGACTCGATTCGTCGTATATGAGCTTCTGTATTTGTCCACATGAGACCGTCAGTCATTCCTTGCGCCATGAGCAGCCGGCAATCGGATAGCCGTATCTCTGCTTCGACAGCCAGCCGTATGCGATTTGGTAATGTCACCAAAGCGTCCCTGCGGAAACACTTTCAGCTCAAAACTACCAATGCATTATTTGCTCACCCGCAAAGACCTTTCAAGCGTTCGCAAATTGTCTCTCCGAGTTGTACGAGGGCAGCTGATCCAAGCCGCGTATCAGCGTCGTCTGAAGTCCCGACTAATCCAGAATAGTTCACATCACAGATGGCCGGAGCGTAAGTGGCTTGCAATCCCGGGTAAGACTCTGAAGGTAAAGGTGCCACGCCTACAGCAGCCTCTACAGAACCGTCGTGCTTGTTCCAAGTTGTTTCCCCAGTCACCACATTCCAATAGTAATACTCCCCACTTTCCTCGTGAAGAACAGCTCTCCAGTCGCATTTCTCCGGTTCATTCTCTGCGAGCACTTTCTCGACAACGTCCCCGATCATGGAGGCCAGAGACGGACGACTTGTTCTTTCCACAACCGATCTGATCTCCGCAGCTTCTGTTGTTGGCTCAACAACTTGTTTCGCTTCTGGTTCCGAAGTCTCGGACGCATTCGCGTCTAGCAATCCGCTTGTCTCAAGCTCGGCAATAAAATCAGCCACCTGATTCACAGAGCAACCACTCAGCGGCTAGAAATACAAAGTAGATTCTACCTCTGCATCCATTTTCTTTTCATCGATATTTCCAGAAGAGGTTTTCTCCTCCGACTCCACCTTCCCATCATCGTCGGCATCGTACTGGCCCAACAACGATAACGAATTCTCTGGAGCACCTGGAGCACCAAGAACTCGTAAGAACGCTTGAAAAACGCCAGAGGGACTTCTTCCAGATATCCACAGCAAGACTAAACTAGCTGAGCGAGAATCATACGAACCGCAAAGGCCATTTGCTGACGAGCCGCTACCATCTTTCTTCGCTGCTGGTTCTGAGTAGTAGACCTCACAAACGAAAAGAAGAAGTGACCAGCCTTGTGCTTCTGGAGGCTTATAGAGTTTTCAAGCAACCGAGCGAGACCCGGCACACAATTCCAAAGCGGTCGGCCATCAAAAGCATGCCCGAGTAACCCACCTGAGTTGGATGGTGGTGAAGCAGCGGCAGTAGTAGTGTCCCCATCGTTTCTAGATCTATCGGCAATCTCTTCTCCCGCTTTGGAATCGGCGGCCGCATTCTCTGAAAGAATAAAAACTTCTCTCGATTGATGCAAAGATTGCGAGGTAATCTTACCTTGCGGCTCGGAATCTGTGAGATCGAGCTTCACCCGGCGACTAGTTCCCTGCCTGCGCTCTCGCCTCCGTCCCATGGCGCGATTGGAACCCTAACCTGCGATGAAAGGAGAAAAAATGGAAGGTTTAAGAAAGCGTCGCCTGAGAGATTCGAACACTCGCGGGGAAACCCCATGTACTTAGCAGGCACACGCCTTAACCACTCGGCCAAAGCGACATTAACAATGTGGATATTCAACGCTCCGTGTTTTAAATTCTTCGTCCACTGCGATGGCCAATTGCGAGCTGCTGGGCGATTTTGGAGGCATCCAGCTCTTCAGCGATGGCAGAATCGTCAGGCCCCAGTGGCCCGATCCCGATTGCCCTGCCGATCCGAGCTTCGAGAAGGGCGAATTTGGATGCAAGGACGTGATCCTGGACGAAGGAACGGGAATGTGGGCTCGAATCTTCGCTCCCAAATCGGCTACAGTGATCGACGATGCTAGCTTCACCGGTAAGCGCGCGCTACTCGTCTACTTCCATGCCGGTGGATTCGCTTCCACCTCTCCTGCTTCGATGCGATCCCACAGTATTTGCAGTGGTATCTCCCGGAAGATGGGGATGATCGTCGTCTCCGTCGCCTACAGGCTAGCGCCGGAGCACCGCCTCCCCGTGGCATTCGACGATTCTTTCGCGTCTCTTCAGTGGCTTCAGTCCCAGGCCCAGCAATCGCCCATGGATCGCGACCCGTGGCTCAAGAACGCGGACTTCTCCCGGATCTTCCTCATGGGCAACAGCTCCGGAGGGACAATCGTCCACTACATGGCTGCCCGGTCGATCCACAGGGACCTCTCGCCGCTGGGGATCAAAGGTCTGGTTTCAGTGGCTCCATTCTTTGGCGGCGAGGAGAGATCCAAGTCCGAGATCCAGTCGCTGGTCCAGCCCGACCTTCTCACACTCGCCCATTGCGATACTCTCTGGCGATTTTGTCTCCCCGAGGGTGCCAACCGCGACCATGGTTACTGCAGAGTTCCGAGGGCCGAGGAGATCGCCAAGATCGATCCAATGCCGCCATTGCTGGTGGTGGTGGGAGCTGGAGACGTGCTCTACAGCCGCGTAGTGGAGTACTACGAAGAGCTCCGGAAAGCTGGGAAGGATGCAAAGCTTGTAGAATATCCAGATCGAGGCCATTTCGTGCTGTTTCCAGAGGTCGAGGGAGAAATGGAGTACTCGTACGGAGAGATGATCCAGTTCATGAACAAGTGCTCCAGCCTTTGACTTAATTAATCTATAGTTTCTCCCAATAATCAGGTTTAAACTCTTATTTTTGGTAGGGTTGCCTTATTTAGTATTATTTATTAATCCATTTGATCAATAATTAGTACCTTAGCGTTTTAAAAAATCTATAAATTATAATACAACAATTAATTTAAATAAATAACAACTGTAAATGCCATCCTTAACCAAAGGCATTTATTTTTCATTTATAATATGAGAAGAAATTGTTTCAAAAACATTGATCACATGAAAAGCTCGTAGGTAGAAATACCTCGCTTTCCCACACTAGCTTTCGATGCCTGCGCAAATCCCAGAGTTCTAGCGCCCGGCAAGTAGCTCGTAAGATCTTGCAAGCTCTTCCCCAGGCAAGAAACATCACGCTCCGGCCACGACACGAGCAATCTCGCGCGCAGAGATTGCATCTGGCAGTAGCTCAGCACCGCGGCCGCCGGCCCATCGATCAAGCTCCCCGACGGCAAGAACGGGGGGATTTGCTGCTCTCTCTTCTCGGCTCTCATCGCGTCGGTCTCGAGAGTGAAGAGCATCGGATCGTCCACCGAGAGCCTGGACCGGAAATTCTCGGCCTGGAGGAGCTCCATCGCGAGAATCGCATCCGGATTCACGGCCGCGAAGAGAACCCTGACCCACTCGTGGTATTTCTCGGGCGGGATCCGGTACTGGACGAGCGCCGCCACGATCGAGCAATCCCCGTCCAGAGCGTAGAGGCAGCAACAGTGATCCTCCGGCGATGGAGCAGCGATCGAGTTGCCAGCCATGGAGATTCCCGGCAGCACAATCGATGCGAGGAGCTTCTTGCCTGGGATGTGGTGGAGGAGGGTGCACGACGGCCGCGAGAAGCCGAGGAGGAGGAGCTCCGGGCGGAGGATTTTCGCCTCGTCGTTCCTCCATGCCACGAATGGCGCCGGAGTGGGGATTACCTGAGAGGGATCGTCGCTGAGAAGCTCCAGGTCTTCCGGATCGAAGCGAGACGGCGGCGGGAGCTCCGTGAGAGGATCGCTGTGCGTTGCCATTGAGGCTAAAACCCTAAAAATATTTTTAGGGTTCTTGTATGGTATATTCACTCATTTGAAAACCGGCTACATCACGTTTTTACATAAGTCTTTGCGGAGTCTTGAGATCTAGAACAAGTTGAAGATTCAAAGTCATTTAATTGAAAGTTCCAGTTTTTCTCCAATTCTCTCTCTTTTTTCCTATCAGAGACAAAACTGTCCTGCCCTGGATTTTCTTGACACGGCAGTGTTCTTCCATTTTTCTATTATTTTTCTGCTATTTCTCCAAGAACACCTTGGGCCCTAGCTTGGATCTGCGAACATTGATCACAAGATCTCCCAGTTATTTCTCAAGGTAAGTAGTGCTCCATTTCCGAACACTATGGGCGTCTGGGAAGAAGATTATTCATCGGATTCGCCACAATCAAGCAGCAGAGTGAGCTGCACGACATCTAATGATCAATTCCGAAGATTGGAATGCACGTATTCCCCAAGATGCCTTCCACCATGGCTCAGCCGAGGAATCCAACGTCTCTTCACTAGAAAGCTCGTGTTTCCCACTTCCAGCCCATCCGAGAAGAAGAAGCAGCAGCAAATCGGTCACTCCACTGCTCTAAACTTCCACAGCATACCCGAAGAGCTCGTAGAGCTGGAGCCATCTTCGCCGTCAGTGAGTTGCATTGGCCATGTCAGTGCTGGAAGAGGAAAACATGGCAGGATTATTCGCGAGAATAATCATTTCTTCCGGAGACCAGGGAGGATTCTTTGCATGGGAGGCAGAAACTCAATCAGATTAGAGAAGACTGGATCCGAGCTTCTCTCGTCGCAAGCGCCAACGTCTCGAGCTCCTGCCTCGGCCTTGAGCCCGGTCTTACCCGAAAATGGAGAAATTGCAAAAGAAACTGGAGCTAGGAAAGTATCCAAGTTGGGGATTGATCACGAGGAAACCCAGCGAATGAACGACTGTGGCACGCAAAGCTGCTGTTCTTCCTCAAGTGACAACTTGAGCCCGAGGCTTGAAGTTTGTCTATGGAAAAGGAGGTGCGTTCCTCCACCACAGCTGCTTAATCTCGAGCCATTGCATCCTATACCTTGCATTGTTAATCTCCCATAACAGACTTGATAGCTATCATCTATTCACTTGTGTTAGTTAAGATTTTGTATCAAGGTGTTAGAAACTGAACTTGCACCTTGAATCATTTTGTAGTAATTTGAACATTTTTAAAAAATATTTATAATAAATAATGTTTTCTTTGTATTTGTGTTTTATTTGTTAATAATGAACCTGTATTGATACTAAGAATTTTTTTTTTCTATCAAGTAGACATTAAAGTTTTTTTCTACAATTCATTTAAATAATATTAAAGATTCAATCAAAAGTCTATAAGTGTATTTTTTTTTCATTTTTAAATTATTTTATTTGTTTTCCTTTGTCCTTATCTCATATAAGCTTAATTAAGATAATGTGTGTTAAAACATTATAAATTAGGATAATCGCCGAACAAAATCACCAAACAAAGCTGTCCGACCGTGTTCGGCCGACCGCGTTCAACGGTGGTCAGGATTTTGGCCGAACACGGTTGGGACCAAGTTGTTTTAATGAAATAAGTTTTTTGTTTAATTCTATGCTTATCTGGTATTTACTACTAAATTTAATATGTTACTCATAACATATTATTTATATATAAAATTTTAAAAATTATATAATTTTTACAATAAATTTTTTCAGAGGAGTTATTTAATTTTTACTTTAATAGTACAAGAATTCTTCAATTTGTTTGAGGCATCTTTTAGATATTGATGATCACAATCAATTCAATAATAGAAAACCTTTGAAATTATCAAGATTTAAGAGTAAAATTAAATTATGATTTAAAGTTATAAATTTTTAAAATCTTATATATGCTAAATCCTTTTTCAATATATGTTGAACTAATTCTAATTATATTATCTCAAAGGCAAAGATTAAAATAAGAATTCTATTCTATAGAAAGATAACATTTGTAACATAAAACACATTACTATGTCATCATAAACTGCATTTTAGTTTGACAAAACTTAAATTAATATAGTGCGAACAACAGTTCAAATTTCTTAAATGCTACTACAAAGAAAAAAATTAAGTTTTAATGAACATAGAAGGAAAAGTTTTTTTTTAAAACTAAAAAAACGCATTATAAAGGTTATAATTCTTGTTTCTCCTTGAGAATCTAAAAAAGTTATTTAATTTCTAAATATAAATTTAATTTAATTATAATATTATAAAAAATTAATAACTATAGCTAATAAATAACAATGGGTGAACAAAGTGCTGCACACTAAAATTCTATAGAAGGCAAATGCTATATCAAAGAGTAGCAAAATTGTAAATTAAAATATTGTTAAAGGTAAAATTAAGTAACATTAATTAATTAATTAATTAGGTAATTAGGTAATTAATTAATTTGTTTATCTTAAAATCTACTTAAGATCAATTATTCATTACTAAATAATCATATAGTTAACAAATCCCAGCCAGATTCAAGACAATAAGATAAACAACATCTACACCATTATCCAATCATAATTTCACATAACATCGACCATGTATACTACTTGTTGAAGTTTGAAAACTAACTCTCCCAAAGTGAAGTGCACAAGCAAGAGAACCAAGAATGACTGCATCGTCTCACCGAACTTGCGATGCTACTAACTCAGGACACATTAGGAATGACTGGAAGGAGATATCGCGAGTCTAAGCCCTTCAAACTTCCCAGCTCCAACCGATCGAGTGCGCACGAATGGATCTTGAATCTGCTCGTCCCCATGCTGGGTGGCATCCCCTGGAATCACGACACAGGATCTTCCATCGTCCTTTTTACGTGCCTGTGCTTGGCGTCCAAGAGGCCACGCTGCGGGATTGACAGGCGGTCTGCCAATCCAGCAAGGAGGCGAGCGAAGTTACCTTACATGCTTTGGTGCGTGCTGCTGCTGCTCTTCACTACACGAGATGACCGCAGACCCACCCTGCACACGATCGATTATCCCCGGTGTGACAGTAAAACGTCTCTCACCTGCATTTCCTTTGCAGACACGCTCGGCCGTGTCAGCCGAAACCCATTGACAGGGATGCTCCAGTTTCGGATGGCTTTCTTGTCACCTGTAACTTCCACAAACCATTCTAAGAACAGTCTCTCTTGGTGGAAAGAAGAAGAAAACACGCACCGTCGCTTTCCGCAAGGAACCGGCTTGTACTGGGCCTTTGAAGTGCTCAGAGGACGAGATAGAGTCCGAGATGGAGCCTAAGACTAGATCCAAGATGGAGTCGAGGACTCCAGAAACTCCACCTAGTGTCAAACGAACAGATAAAGCGATCAGGAGGAAACACCAAGACGAAGAAAACTCACATACGATAGCAACGGTTTTTGTCAGTGGAAGCTCCAAGACTTTCTCCGATTCCGTTGTGCTGAAGGGAAGATTCTTGACGAGGAGAGCATGATCTCCTCCAGCACCTCCACATGGTTTTACGCCTTGCTGAGCTAATGAAAAGGACGTGCGTTTCTCCCAGAGCAAGACCCTCGGCAACGTCCTCAGCTTCTGGATCCAGAAAACTCACGTCTGGAGATCCCATAGCTTGGCCACCTGCGTCACGCAGTGATCAAACTGTAAGAGTTGAGTCAACTCTACACACCGTATAATCTGGCCAGGATTCCATGCTTGCGTATTGCCGCTAGACTCCTTTTTCTTGCGCTCCCACCTCCCTCTCTTGTTTCAGGTTCATGGAACGATCTCTAGAATCCCGGAGAGGAGACATGAAATGCAGGTAAGAGTCTTCCTTGGCCCTGCATAATACGGGAATTTAGTCCTTCAGAAAACTCAGCACCTCGTTGCTGCTTCTGGTAGCATGAACACAACATTTGTCACAAATCAAATGAACTTGGACAACTTCCCCATACTGGCCGAACAGGGAAACCAGTTCCTCTTCACTGGTAAAGAAAAACACGAGAAAACAAGATGAGGCTACGACGTTTGAAGAACACACCTCGTGGTGTATGCAAGGTTGCGCACGAAAAGCCTCCCGGTTACATTCTTCATTAGCAGGACGATCGACAG